AATTTTATTTTTTATAATTTTTATAAATATTATTATAGTTATTATTACTTTTAAATTAAAGATAATTAATAACAAATTAAATAATTGATAAAAATAATAATATTTTTTTTTAAAATCAGTTTAATAAATTTGTATGTAAAAATTTCTATTTAATTATTTTTTCGAATTAATGTGTTAGTTTTAGGGGGGGGCAAAGGGGTAGTGTGATATTAAAAATGATGGGGGTAGAGTTTGTAGTTTATAAAAATATTTTAAAAATACATTTTTTTTTTTTTATCTCACATATCCAACACATTAGTCGTCTTTTTTTTAATGTGATAAGTGTTTGTGTGTTATTATAATAAATCGATTCATCATATAATAAGAAAAAAAAAAAAAATTAATCAAATGCAAAAACATTAGAATCTTCATTTTACTCAATTTTTTTTTTTTTATTGTTATAATTTATTATTATAATCAAATAAAATTTTTTCACTTTAGTTTAAAAAATAACAATATTTTTTTTATTTTTTATTTTATATTAAATTATTAAATATTTTTTTTCTTTTTTTTTTTTTTTCTATTTTTTTAATAACTTTGTAAAAAAATAATAATAAAATCAAATAATAATAATAATAATAATAATCATAATCATAAATAAAATATATGTTATAAAATATATTTTTTAATTAATTAATATATTTAATAAATATATAAAAGTTGGTATTATATATTAATATATTAATAAAAATAGTATAGTAATAATAAAAGAATAGAGGATAAATATTTGTTTCGGTATTTTTGTTCTTTTTTTCACTAAAATTTAATTAAAATTTAAATATAGGTAAATTTTTTTTCATTTTTTTTATTTTGTTTATTTTATTTTTTTTAAAAAAAAGATATTAAAATACTTTAATATTAAAATCAACAGGTTTAAATAAAAAAAATCAATATTATCAGTAAATACCATTCTACCAATACAGTAATAACATATTTATAAAAATTATATGTAATAAATGATTTTTCAATTTTGAAAATAATTATTTAGTTATTAAGTTTTGTTGTGTTGTGTTGTTTTCGAAATTCTAAAATTCACCATATTTATAAATTATCACTTTTTTTTTTTATTTAATTATTTTAAAATTAAATTAATTTGGTGTGTTGTGTTTTTTTTTTTTTTTTTTTTTTTTTGGTTTTTTTTATATGTGTTAATGTGTTTGTTTTTAATTAATAGATAGATTTTTATATTTAATATACGTTTTTCTCTTTTCCTTTTTTCCTTCTAACTTTTACCTTTTAAATAGTATTTTTTATAATATTAATAATAAAACATAAAAATATATTAAGGTTCAAATTATTATTTTACTAATGGAAATTTTTTAAATAAATTTATAGTAGTTACTTTATATTAGTCCTTTTTACTTTTTTTTTTTTTTTTTTTTTAATTGATATCAATTTAAAACAAACAAATATATTTAGTCAAAAACAAATAAAAAATAATAATCATACAATATTTATTTATTTAGTAAATTAAAAAAAAATAAAAAATGTTTAATATCAATCCATATAAAGTAAGTGATTAGTTTTTTATATATAGAATATCAATATTTATCTTTAAATAACTTATTAATTTTTTTGCTTAACTAGAAAAAATCAACAAAACCAACAAATACACCAACATCATCATCAACATCATCATCGGCCTCATCCCCAAAATCATCATCAAAAGATAAAGATAAGAAAAAGAAATCATTTTTAAAGGATGATGGAGGTGTCAATGCTTCACCATGTAAAACTGAAAATAGTTTATCACTAACATCCTTATCAGAGATTACACACTCACTTTCAAATACACATACACAAACACCAACCGATACAAGTTTAACAGCAGAGGATGTCAGTGAAGTTGGTGATGATTATGATCCATTCCTTTCGATTTTAGAGGAACCAATTGACCAACAATCAAGTAATATAGAAAAAGAAACCACCGAAGAGCTTCAAGAGATGTTGGCAGTACTTAAAGGTGTACAAAACGAATGTAATGTTTTATTATTAGGTAGAACAGGTGTTGGTAAATCATCAACACTTAATACTGTCTTTGGTATCGATATTCCAGTTCATTCATCAGAATCATGCACCCAAGATCCATTCACTTATAGCAGAGTTGTAAATGGTTTCAAATTAAATATTATTGACACCCCAGGTTTTTTAGATTCTCAAGGTGAGTTAGTAGATTCAAACAATATGATTAAAATTCAACGTTATCTCTCTGGCAAAACTATTCACTGCGTTTTATTTGTTGAAAAATTCACCGAAACCCGTTTCGATGGTGCTCATCAATTGGTAATTAATCAATTCACAGAGAAATTAGGACCACAATTATGGAGAAATGCTGCTGTCGTTTTAACCTATGCAAATTCAGTACTCCCAGATTCATGTTATGATGGCTTTGATGAAGAGGATGAAATTGGACCATGGAAAAAACACTTTGATGCAAGAGCTCTTCAATTTAGAAAATTCTTTTCTGGTATTTTAGCTCAATTACCCCAAGATGACTATCCACCAAAACATATTCCAGTCTATGCTATGGAAAACTCTCGTAGATGCAGAAGAAACGATCAAGGTCAAAGAATTTTAGTTGACGGCACTCCATGTCTCCATTTGCTTATTAGTGGACTCTTAAAAATGGTCGATCCTAAAACTGCTTTCCTCTTTATGGGCCATCTTAGAGCTAAAAACAAACCAGGAAGAGGTCATCGTGGTGATCAGAATGATAGAGAGCGTTCAATTCTCGATAATATTACCGAAATTCTTAAATTATTTGTAGTTCCACCATTTGATCAATTGGGTAAAGGTACTGTTGCCTTAGCACTTGAAAATTGGGGTAAAAAATTGGATAAAATAGGTAATTTACCTAATTTACTTAAAATTTAAATATAACAATAAAATAATAATAACAAACATAATAACAATAACAATGGTTCAATCAATAATACAATCAATTTTTAGAGTTTCATTCTTTATTATAACATTTAAAAATTATATAATTTATAATTTAGTAATTTAAAAAAAAATACAAAAAAAATACAAAAAAAATACAAAAAAAAAATACAAAAAAAAAAAATTCATGTATAATTATATTATAAATATATAATTATATTATAATATATAATTTCTTTTCATTTTATAGTTAATACTTTTTTATTTTTTTTTTATTTAAAAAAAAAAAAACATGTGTATAAATAAAATTTAATATTTAAATATTAAAAATAAATATATTTATCTTTAATTATCTTTTTATTTTTTTTTTTTCGCAACTTTAATATATATACACCAAAGGTTTTTTTAGAGATTCTAATTTTCGACCAAGGGGTGTTATAGTTCTATATTCGAAAGCAAAAGATTTCTTGCATTTTGAACTTGAAGCGGATCTATAAATAAAAAAAAAGTTAATATTATTTTTTGATATTTATGTTTTTTTTTTTTTGATTTAACAAATAATATTTACCTTAATAAATATAATTTATAAAAAAAATAAAAAAAATAAAATTATTGTAATTATTTATAAACAATAATTATTATTGAAAAAGTAATGGTACAGAGATAATGATACAAAGTAATATTATAATTATAATGGTTTTAATATTATAACTATTATTTAAATAATATTACTATAATTTTTTTTTTTTTTTAATTTCTTTTTACAATTTATTAAATGATGAATAAAATAATTTTTTTTTCAACTATTTATAGTTTTTTTTTTCTATTGTAAAATATTAATTCAAATTTTTAGAATTTTCCAATACCCAAATATCAAAGTATTTGCGCAAGTGTAACTGCACAAATTAATAAAATAATAAAAAAAAGATATTTTCAAAGAATGGATATTATTTTGAGAAGAAATTAGTTTTGATTCTACAGAATCAAGAGTCCAATAGGAAAGAGTGCAAAGTCAATAAACGATCTTTGCAAAATTATAAAATAAATTTTCTACAACTTTTATAAATTTTCAAAATATCTTTTTTTATTTTTTTTTATTTTTTTAATATTTTTTTATCTTTTTTTTTAATAAAAATATACCAGGTTATAATTCTTTCATTAAGTTTATAATAATTGAATATTATTTTAAATATTAATTACATTATAAATATTTTTATAAAAATTTTAATTATAATAATTATGTAATTTTCTCTAATTATATAAGTGAGATATTTAATATCAATAAAAAATAATTTAAAAATAAAATTTAATAAATAAATAAATTGAAAAAACCAATTTTGTGTTTTTATTTTTTTAAATTTAATTTTTTTTTATTATGTATTTTAAAATTAATTGTAGTAAAATCAAAATTTTTAAAATAAACTAACAATATATGATACAAATTTTTAAATAAGACAATCATTTTTTTTAAAGCGCCATATCAATTAAATAATATCTTTATACAATGTTTTGTTTAACAAAAATTAATGTTTTTATTGAACATTGTTTTCCATAAAGTTGTCCTATGTTTTTTTACAAATAATATTTTTTATATTAATAATTGATTAAGTTTTAAAATAAAAAAAATTTACTTGGATTTTTTAAAAAAAAAAACAAGTCATATTGATAATGTATTGTAATATCGTAACAGAATTAAAGAATAAACATTTTATTATTTCTATGTTTAAACATTATCCTCCCTTTTTTTAATTATAATAACAAAATTATGATCCTTTTAAAATATTTTTTTTTTATGTCTTGATTTTTCTTTGTGAAATGCATCTAATGTGATTTTCTTCTGTTTTTTATTTGGGGTTTATTGTTCATTTGAGATTTGATTGGTTTGTTGATGATCTGATTGATCCGGTTGATCTACCTCTTTGAATTGGTTGTGCTTATTGTACTTGTTTGTCTCGGTTATCATGTTGAGTTTTTTGAATTGATTGTACTGAAATGATAGGTTGGTTGGCTCTTGATTTGATTATCTTTGATTTTTTTTTGTTGTATTTTTTTGTTGGATTGAGTTATTAGTTCTACCTTGCCAATAAGGAATGGATATGATGGTATTACCTTTTCCATCCATTACTGTTAAGTATAAGCCTAGGTTTGAATACTTGTGTACCAAAACTTCTATGCCTATTTCATCCAGTTTGTTTGTTGATGTTAATTGTTCTTGTTCCCAACGGATTAGATGGAATTTCTTTCTTTTTGCTCTTGGAATTTTTGGTGAGTCGAGTACGATTCTACCTTTTTTCTGATGATACTAGCTACTTCAGTTTCTTTGGATAGTATGGCCATTCTTTTTTATTATTGCATTCTAGAATATCCTTTTGAGTTGATTTCTTTAAATTGTGTTGTGATGTGAGTTTCGATCAATATTCTTTGTACAATCTTTCACCTACACTTTTTATGTTTTCTAATATGTTTTGGAAGTTTTTGTATGCTAATTTGATATTTTAACTGTATTTATTAGTTGAACTGAGATGATGCTTTTTTGTATTTATTGCTCACCACGAATTTTTGACTTACCCCTTCAATAAGAATGGCGCAAAGGTTAACATGACTTTTATTAATTTATTTTTAAAAGAATTTTTAGTAATTTAATTTTGATTATTTAATTTTTGTTGGGTAATTTTTGTCGAGTAATTTTTGTAATTTAATTTTTATTTGTAATTCATCAATAATATTCTGTAGCTACATTGTGGTGTGTCGCTGACTAGCTTGTGTTGTGGTTTCTCATATATTCTATAAATATTTTGAGATGATGCTCCAGGTAGGTTTAGTTCCAAAAAAACCATCAAAAAGACAGCTTAGCGAAGTGGTCTAACGCGTCTGACTTGAAATCAGATCTCCTCGGAGGCGCAGGTTCGAACCCTGCAGCTGTCGATACTTTTTATTAGATCTTTCTTCCCAGTGATTATATGAGGTTTTTAGAATCACACATTTAATTCTAAAATGCATATGAATACAAGTTAAAATTTTTATTAATTATTTATATTTCCTATTACATACAAAATCCCAGAAGGTCGCAAATCCGATGGAGAAATAAATATGGATTACAACAACACCAGATTCCACAAATCACACTTCCAATGGAACTATAAAGCAATAGATTTCGACTTAACTAGATGTTTCGCTTATAGAAATGCCATAGCCCTGGTATTTCATCATGTTTGGATTTGGTTATGTAAAGAATTATATGACGATCAAGAAAATACAATAAAAGAACTCGATTATAAGAATCTAAACTCAAAATGGACTAAACTAGCTACTTTAGAATACTTAAAAGGTTTAAAAAACATCAAGGAAAGACACGCTAAACAACCACAAACAATTAGCAACATCAATGAAGAATATAGAAAATTCAAAAGAAAAATAGCAAGAGCATACTTCATCAGCATCAAATCTTTACCAAATATCAACAGTTTAGAATATTTTCTTTAAATACTTTATAAAAAACATTAAATAAAATTTTACTGATTAATTAAAAGCATTGCTTTTTATTATCTTCACTTTTTAAAAAAAAAAAAAAAAAAAAAAAAAAAAAAGAATACATTACAGAAACCCTGTCTCGCAGGTTTTCATTACCGCTACCGAATTTTTATCTGTTTATTTATGTGCAGATCTATATTATTGAAAAGGAAAGAAATGATGTTAAAATTTACCGGCACAAAAACAGATAAATTTTTTATTTTCTGTTTTAAAAATAATAATAAATATAAAAGTTTTAATATTTAAACTCTTTTTTTATTTTATTTTATATAATTATCAAAAACCATTTTGATAATGAAATCATATGGTTTATTATCAATTATTTTTGTACTTTTTTTTTCAAGTATTTTAATTTTACAAGTTGTGAAGGAGATTTCATTGACTGCATTCTAACCAATATGCAGGATGTCAATTAAGCCATGGTCAATTTTGCCGAGAAACATATACAGATTGTAAAAGTAAATGTTGATCCTAATCAACATATGTTATACTGGGAGATTACAAAGGCTTCTTATGATTAAGATTAAAAAATAAATAAAAAAAAATTTGCATGTTTTTTAATAATATAAAATTCAATTAATTTATTTAAACAACTTTTGTTTTTATTTTTTTCTTCGTCTGTAACATTTGTCTATATAAATCGGGTATAGTATTTGAATTTAAGATCGTCCCTGTGTTTTTATCGTGGTGTATATGATAACGAATTGACCAGCTATAATGATATTATTCCCACTTAAATATAATTGTGGAATTGGAGGATCGGAGGGTCATAATCATAAATATTTTTGCGAATATTACTATCACCATATTGATTATACTTTGAACATTTTTTATCTCTATCCATAGTTGTATTTTTATACAATTATTATGCTTTTTGTTTATTTATTTATTTATTTATTTATTTATTTATTTAATCATTTAATTCATGCCTCTTTCTAGCATCTCTTCTTTTTGATAGAAGTGTCTGTTTAGCCTTAACATTTATTGTTGGGTTCTATTTTGCTTTTTCACTGAATAATGAACCACTCCATCTGAATCATAAACTGATGTATCAAAATGTTGTTTCGACAATTTGGTTTTATCTATTGAAATTTACATCTAATTTAATTTCTAATTCTTCATTTGGGCCGCAATTTTATTGAAAAACGTTTGTCTCATTGTTGATGACCGATCAGTCATTAAAATTTGAACCAGATAATCAAATTTTATGACAGTTAAACATTATTTATGGTTTGTTTTTAAATGATGGGTTTTTTATTTTTTTTAAATAAATAATTAATTTATTTAGGTAAATTTTTATTTATACTTTTTTATTTTTAATATTTTTAATAAGTTATAAAATATAACAAATAACACAAAGTTTATTTACCAGAGGACATAATTTAAATTATTAAAATTAAAATTACCAGAAAAAAAAATTTTAATTTTATTTTAAAAGTTTTTTTTTTTTTTAAAAATAATTTAAATTATTAAATTATTTTTACAACAGAAATTTTTATATTATAAATATTTATTTTCCACACAACTTTATTTAAAAATAAAATCATAACTAGACCACATATTTCATTTAAATACAGAATGGATAATAGGTACACACCAATTAATTTACTCAAAATTATAATACCCATACTATGGAGTGTTTGTATAAAAATCATTATTAATTCAAAATAAATAAATAACAAAAACTAATATATTTTTTTTTTCTAAATAATTTTATTATAAAATTTAGATTATTTGTTTATTTTTTTTTATATATTATTTGATAAAAGATAAAAACCAAATTTTATTTGCACCATTTATTTCATTTTTAGCATCACTATTTTTTATTTATGATATATGGGTAAGTTAAAAAAAAAAAAATTAAAAATATAAACAATATTTACTAACAAATATTCAATTATATAGAACTTCTATTTACCAAACTCTATTGGATATTCCAGGGTAAACCCTTCATCAAAATCATTTGTTAATTTAAAGTTAGTTATTTGTTTTGTTTTATTTACTCTCAGTTGTACATCAATTGTGTTATCTTTTAATTTAACTTTTAACGATGTAACTATTTGGAATTTTTTAAATATTATTTTTGGAATCGTAAGTAGAACTATATTTATCAATCAAAAAAAAAAAAAAAACAACACAAAAAACTAAAAAAAAAAAAAAAAACACTTACTGACTAAACACAAAATTTTTAAACTTTAGATTTGGGCAATGCTAACGGTTAAGTATCAAAAATATAATGAACAAAATACAAATGAAAGAGATTTCAAAGAATTAAATCAGCTAACAGTTGATGATAAAGAAATGATTGAAGGTGATGTTTAAAACTTTTTTTAAAATAATAAAAAAAAAAAAAAAAAAATTAATCAATCGAAAGGGTGCAGATACAAAATCATAATAATCATAATAAATAATAATAATAATAATAAAAAATCAATTAAAAAAAACATATAAATAAATTTCAAAAATTAATAATTTAATATTTTATTTAAAAAAAAAAAATGCTTATTAGTAAGTGTAAAACATATATTTAATTTAATTATTTTACCAATTTATTAATTAATTTTAAACTTTTAAAAGAAAACCTAACACAGACTTTAAACAATAAAAAATCAAATACCGCTTTTGTAAATACAGAATCAAATAATAACTACAGTTCAAACTCCAATAGCTCTGCTGACTATGTTATTATTTTTGGGGTAGTATATCCAATTCCTAAACCAGCAAACCTTAAGCCTGCCCAACCAGCCCCCAGATAGGCTTCCCCTCAGAAAATAAAGTGTTTTTAGTCAACAATAATCTATCAAAACTATTTTAAACTAAAAATATTAAAATAAAACTTTGTATTTTAATTTGTAATTTTATTTAAATAATAAATAAAAAAAAAAAAAGAAAAAAAAAAAAAGCTTGTGTAATAAATAAAAAAGAACATAAATCTGATTTTTTGGGATATAATAATAATTGATTTAATTAAATTTTTTTTGGTTTTTTTTTGTTATTTTTTAAAAGTTTGTTATTGGTTTTTAATGTGATAATAATGGTTTAAAATATGGATGATCTAAAGCCTCTCTTGTTGTTAATCTTTCAGCTGGATCATAACGTAATAATTTTTCTAAAAAGTCAATGGCTTCTGGGACTGCAAGATGTTGATTTTCTTTTGTAATAAATCTACCCCATGGTTTCTTTGGATGTCTATAATTGTAAAATAATGAAAATTAATATATTTCTTTACTTTTTTTTTGTTTGTAATTGTTTTTTTAACTTACTTTCCGATGATACTAAGAATAGTGTGATCAACAACAATACCGTATTTCTCTAAATAAGAATAAAATTCTTCAGTACCTAATACTTTAACAATCTTTACTAATTGATCAATATTATCATGACCATGGAAAAATGGATCTTTTTGGAAAAGCTAAAATTATAAATCGAAAAAAAATGATTAATATAAGAAAACAATAAGGTTTATATATATATAAAATTGTTAATACACTACCATGCCGGCAAACATACAACCAAGACTCCACATATCTAAACTATAATCATAATCTTCCATATCGACTAAAAGTTCTGGTCCTTTGTATGGACGAGAAGCAACTCTAACATTATAATCTTGATTTGGGTGATAAAATTCGGCAAGACCCCAATCAATAAGATATAATTTTCTCTTTTGATGATCAATCATAACATTGCTTGGTTTAACATCTCTGTGCATAATACCATTTGAATGACAAAAATCGAGGGCATATAATAATTCTCTAATGTAAAATCTAACATCGAAATCAGTAAGAGTTGGTGAAAGATGTTTGAAATCTGTATTGTTAATATAGTCGAAAATTAAACTTGGTGTTTTTGATTGTGGATCTCTAACAACATCCAATAATGTAATAATATTTGGGCCACCACAAAGATTTTGAAGGATTTTAATTTCTCTCTTGATTTTCTTCTTCTTTACTGGTTTTAAAACTTTAATTACACATTTTTCGTTATTTTTGATGTTGGTTCCTTCGAATACTTCAGAGTATTTTCCTCTTCCGATTTTTCTAATAATTTCATAATCATCTTGGGTTCTATTTTAATAATGTAGTTTTTTTTTTTTTTTTTTTTTATTTTTAATTTAAATAAAAAAGAAATATTAGTATTTATTATATTTTAACCTTTATTTTGTATACTGTATATTTAAAATAATATAATATACTTTTGTTATTATAAATTATTTAGTTTTATTATACATACTCCCATTTAACGTTTAAAGCTTCATAGTTCCTGTGTTAGTATAAAGTATAATTATATTGTTAGTAGTCTGGTTATTAAACACCTATTCATTTATTGTCCTAATATCCTATAATGCATACCAATATTCCTTTGGTTTATGAAGATTGACATCGCAATAAATTCTTGCTTTATTTCTAAAAATACGATTTTTGTTCTTCTTGCTTGAGTGATTCATTTGTATATGTACTTTTTTTTGATAGGTATTTGTTTGTACTATTTTTAAATACAACCAAAACACACAGTATCAAATATAACAAAAAAAAAAAGAAAAAAAGAAAAAATAATTTAAAAAAAAAAATTCTAAAAAAATTTTAAAAAAATTTTAAAAAAAAATAAAATTTAAAAAAAAAAAAAAAACGAAAAAAAAAATAAAAAAAAAAATAAATAAATAAATTAAATATTATTTGTTTCAGTTACTTAAATTGTTATTAAAATTTTATTTTGAAATCAAATAAAAAATTAAACAAACAACTAAAAAAATTATCTTTAAAAAAAAAAAAGAAACCCCCCCAAAAAAAAAAAAAAAAAAAATTTAACATATGAAAAAAAAAAAAAAAAAAAAACATATTTATTTTTAGCCGATAAGAATTATTTCTATTATTATTATAATTTATTGTTGCTGTTGTTGTTGTTGTTGCTTATTTTGTCTTGCGCTTTGAATGATTCTTAAATTTTCTTGATACAATTCTTCAAAAAGTTCTAATTCTTCTTCGGGTAATTGATTCATAACATATGGTGGCAATTCAACTAAATATCTACTTGGGTCAGAAGAAACACTCATCATCATAGCGGTCGAGCTTGTGGTTAAAGATAAGCTTTGACTTTCTTTAAGCTTGTCGATTTCGTCTAAAAGGGTTCGTTTGATTTCTTCATCCTTTAACATCATTTCATTTAATGTTTGAATATCCCTAAATTGAGCCTCAATCTTTAATTTTAGTTCTTTATTTTCGTGTGATAATAATCTAAATGTTGATATTAATTCGTTGTTTTGTTTGTCATATGCTTTTAATTTCTCCAATAATAAAAGTTTTTTCTCTTTTTCATTTTGTAATTCTTTTGATAACTCCATATTTAAAGTTTCATAAAATTTATAATCATGTTCGTCTTGAACCTGGATTGATTGCTGTTGTTGTTTTTGTTGATTGGATGGTATTTTTGTGTTGAGGTTATTTTGCTTTTCTAATTGTTGATTCTTTAACTCTAATTCTTTAATATATTCAATAAGACCACCCAATTTTGAATTTAAAACATTTGATATTTCATCTTGAATATCCTTCATTATAATATTATTACTAAAATTATTATTTGTATTTAAATTTAAACTTTCTATATTATTGGTCACATCAGTTACTATTGATGGGGTCGGTGGTGTAACTTGTTGAACAGAATTGGCTGGTGGTGAAATAACCTGTGGTTGTTGTTGTTGTTGCTGTTGATTAATTGGTTGTAAATCTGGTTCAATTTTAAAGTTTTTGGATTTTAACTTATCTACAAATGGTGATGATGGTGAGTTTTGGTTATTTGTCATTAACGATTTTAATTTTGAATTTGGGGTTGATGGACTATCTTCAACTGAACCATTATTATTACTGTTATTATTTATTGTAAAGCCATCTGATCTTTTAGCTTTTGCCCAATGAGTTGAAGGGGCAGAGTTTTCTTTCATTGTGTGTTTAATTTGTTGAATTTTAGAGTCATCTAAATGTAATAATAATGGTAATACCTCTTTTTCACCAACAACTGTACCAATAGTGCCAATAGTCAACATTGAAATTTCTCTATTTTCTTTAACTGGATCTTCAATATTCTAATAAAGAGTATTAGTTAATAAGGGTTACATACTTGTGTAAAAATTTTAAAAGAATAAACTTACCAAAGATAAAGCATTAACAATTAAGGAAATATCATTTTTAAAATTTGATAAATTTGATGCCATTATTAATCTTCTAAGCCACAACATAACTTCATACTTTAATTTCGAATCTTTGCTATTTAATAAAATTTCAACAATAACTATAAATGAAAAAGAAAATTATTAATATTACAATGTTTATTATTGCTATTATTATCCTTATTATTATGATATATTTACAATCTAAAACTTCACCAATTTTTAATGTTCTTTCCATTATTGTATTTAAACAAGCATGAATTGAGTCACTAAGCAATGGTCTAACTTCTTTGAAACTATCCAACATAATTGGGACTAATGAAATAATATGGTTAAATAATAACTCTCTAGTGAGTTTTTTAACTAATAATTCTGTGGCATTTATTGTTGTTAAAATTACAAAAATATTTGTATCGCCAAGAAGCTAAAAAAATTTAAATATTAATATGATTATCCTATTATTAGTATTTTTATTATATAAATATTTACCTTTGCCATTGTATAGGAAATTTTTGAATAATCTTGGTCTGAAAGATGTGCTATTTTTTCATGTGATATTAATGGAATAAATACATCGGTTATACCTTGTTTTCTAACTGTCCAAGAAGAATCTTCAGAAAGCTTATAAAATTCATAAAGTCTACAATGGATTTCATCTTGATCACCATAAGATGGGGACGACGATAATGAACTATTGGTTGAATGTGATGGTGATGATGCCCCTGGTGGTGTAGTTGAAACACTACTTTTATTACTATTACTACCATTATTATTTTGACTATTTACAATTGGTATTGAAGTAGTGGTTTGTTGTTGCTGTTGTTGCTGTTGTTGAGCTTGTTGTTGAGCTTGTTGTTGAGCTAATTGTTGCTTAGTTTGTTTTTGATTTGCTGTTGATCTATAAAGTCTTAAATTCTGAGATTGTGGTGGTTGTTGATTTTTTAAAGATTGAATTGAACTTTCAAACTCTTTAAATTGTGCAGGTCTTAATGTTTTTAAATGACTTACTAATGGATCACCTAACCAAATATATAACTGTACTGAAAGATTTAATGCCTCACTTCTTACATCTTTTGATTGGTTTTCAAAAAATGGTATCAAGTCCTTTAAAATCATATCCACTGGTACATTTGTGGTACCAAATTGTTTAATAATTTCTTTTATTGTATATACGATTGCTGTTGTAATTTTTGGTGATTTACTATTTGATAAATTCTCATATAAATATTGCTGTATAAAAAATGAAAAAAGAGATTTATTAGTAAACCACGATTTATGCCCATATATATTAAAATGAGTTTACTTACAATAACTATATATGGTCCTATAATTTCAACTAATAATAATAAACAGTCAATTGCCTTTAGTTTAATTGAATCTCTTGCATTAAAACAATTTTCGACTATCGATTGAATTAAATCTGAATAAAATGACATTGGTGTATTTTGCGCATATACGAAAGCCGCTTTATCTAAAAATACAAATAATACCTGTAATGCCTTCTCTTTATTTGCAGGTTGTGGATCCACTAGTAATATCTTTTCAAATGCTGACGAATATTTACTAAATTCGTTAGAATTGCAATCTTGTATTGAATTGAATAGATTTAACATTTCCTCATATCCATTTAATCTATCTTTAAATTCTTTTGATTTGATTTTATTACCAATTGCCGACATTTTTTTTTTTTTATGTGATTGATTATTATTGATTTATTGTTTACATAAACTGTGAATGTGTGTTTTTAAGTTTATTGGGTGTTTATATCTATTTGTGAAATTTTAAATAAACAATATTTTAAATAAAACTAATTAAAATAGATAGAATGTGATTTTTAATACTATACAATTAAGAATAAATAAATAATATATAAAAGATAAATCTTTTTTTATTTTGCCAAGGTTATATATAAACAATGAAAAAAATTAAAAAAAAAAAAAAAAGAAAAAATTTTTAAAAAAAATTAAAAAAATATTTATAAAAAAAAGATTTTTTTGTTTGTTTTATAAAAAAAAAAAAAAAAAAAAAAAAATAAAAATAAAAAAAAAGATATAATTTATAAACAAATTTATTGAATATTTCAACCAATTATCGTTTTTTGCTTTTTGTTTTGATTATTATTACTATTATTAATATTGATAAAATTATTATTAGTATTAATATTGTTATTATCAACTATTATTTTTTTAAATAAAACCATTAATGCAACACCAGTTACGGATAATAAAACTACAATTAAGATGCCATGTATTAAATAATTAGAGTCATCGGAATCTTCAAAATCCTCATATTCTTCTTGATCATTAAATTCGATATCACCATAATAAAACTGTTCAGAGTTTTTAGAGTTTCGAATTTTTTGATTTTTTAATGATTGCTTTAAGAGTTTGGAAGCGGCAGAGGTGGTGCTAAAATTAAAAGTATCTTCAAGAATTGATGTTGAACGGAATAAAGTTGGTAATGGACGTTGAACAAATGATACGTCGAGTGTGATATTACGTTTGGATGTGGGGCTAACAATAATACGACTTTTTAAGTAATGATTTAAATGAGATGATGCCTCAGTTAAATCGGTGACCATCGATGGTATAGGGTGATATTGAACACATGGAGCAATATCGTCATCTGAGCATTGTTTGATGTAGAATCGGTCGTTAGCTGGTAAGAGATGTGAGTAGTCGTACCAACAATGTGGGAACAAAACTGAACTTGTGCTACCATTTCCATAATGATCTCTCTTGAAAGTTGACTCACCATTAATATGACTAAACAATGTTAATCTGAACACTATACTATTTCTTCTTGATTCATTACATTTACCAGTACGTTTCGATCCAATTTCACGCATTCCACACATCCATTCCGATAATAATTTTTCTATGGAGTTATAATTTCTATTCTTTTCTAAATAATTTGTAATACGGTCAATTTGTGTTGATTTAAATATAAACCCATTTAACCCAACTGATGTTTTTATAAGATCCCATTTTCTATTATACAAGTTACTCTTTTTTATTAAATATGGTAGTACTGATATAGCTTTACTACATAATGGGAAATCGTCCTCCATAACCAATATAAAATCTACATTTGTTTTATTATTTACAATTTTTAGCATATTTGAAACATCTAAATTCTTTTGTTTCATCTATAAAAAAAAAACAATATTAATATGTTTAATAATAACATTACGATAATTCTTTTTTACTTACTTTTTTTGTTACTATATTATTATTATTATTATTATTATTGTTATTATTATTATTATTATTATTATTATTATTATTATTATTATTATTATTATTATTATTATTATTATTATCATCTTCAATAACTCTTGAAGGATTATCTATAAATGAAAATACATTTGTGTATTTATATTTATAATGTTCTTTTAGTTTATAAAATATGGAATGATTACCAGGACTATTATTAAACACTATAACTTTAATTTCCAAACCAGACAACGGTGAATTCTCTTTTGATTGCTCCTCAAAGCTTGAAATTATGGCGGATAAATGATCCTTTTCTCTTGGTAATGTTGGTATTGAAATTACCAACTTTAATTTTTTATTTAAATTATTTTGACTATTAAAATTGCTGACAATTAAATTATTTTTTAACTCTTCATATTCTTCATCTTCAAATTCAAACTCGTCAAATGAATCTATTGAATCTTCTATATTATTTTCTTCGTTATTATTATTATTATTATTAATTGGTTTTCTTGTTATTGGTTGTCTTGCTGTTGGTCTATCTTTATTTTTACTATTTGATAATATTCTGTCATTAATTAATAATTTACCATGACGCATATTTGAAAATCTTACAAAATTTGTGTTTAATTGCAATAAATCATCCTCTTCCATATCTTCCTCAATTTCTTCACCATCGTCGTCTGGGAATAAATTTACACCACCCCATCTACTTGTTTTATATCTACCTCCACCTTTTAAATCACTACTATATATCGTTCTTAATTGTTTATTTTTAAACGCTTGGACATCTATAGAATATTGTTTTACTACATAATTTAATACTAGTATATTGAATGTTAATAATATTAAAAATATACAAAATAAAATTTTAAAATTTTTTCTTAAAATTTTTAAAGACATGTTTATATTTTATAATATTTTGTGATTTATTTTTATTAAAAAAAAATTATTTTTTAAATTATTATTAATTATAATATGTTTTTTTTTTTTTTATAAAATATCCTGTTATTTATATTTTATTCTTTTTATTCTCTTTTTATCATTTATTCTAATTATATTATTAATGCCTATGTGGTCGTTTTTATTTCAGTGTGTCTGTTTTTTATTATGTTTTATTGATCAAAAACAAAAAAAAAAAATAAAAAAATAAAAAAATTTTAAAAAAAAAAAAATAAAAAATAAAAATCTTTTTTTTATTTATTATTTTTTTTATTTTTTGGTTTTATCATAAAAAAAAAACTTTTTTGTAAAAAAAAACTATACATACTAAATTTAACCAACAAAGAGATAGAAAATGAAGTGAAATAATAATAATTAATAAAAATAAAAACAATAAAAACAATAACTATAGAAAAAATAATAATTATAAAAAAAAAAAAAAATTTGATTTAAAAAATGATAATGAAGTAAAATAAATGATAAAAAATATATATAAATAAATAAATTATAAATAATAATAATTTTAATAAATATATTTTTATAGAAAGAATATATACTATTATTATTATTATTATTATTATTATTATTATTATTTTTATTTTTATTATTATTTTTTTATTTTTATTATTATTATTATTTTTATTATATTATCATAAAATCAAAAAATTTTCTGTTTGTGTGTGTGAATTTTCTTCAATATACCTCCACTTTCCAATTCCCGCTAAAATTTTTTTTTTAAAAAAATTTAAAAAAAAATTAAAAAAAATTGAAAAAAAAAAAAAAAAAATTAAAAAAATTGTGAGGGGTCAACGTAAAATTTTTTTTTTTTTTTATTTTTTTTTTTTTATTGTATAGAATATATCACATATTATTTATCCTCATTATCAAATATCATAGATTATCCTTTTTTTCATAATCTAAATAAAATAGGAATCAATCTTCCTCAATTTTCATCAATCATTAATATATCTATTAAATTTAGTCATGATATGTTCAAGTAAGTAATAATTTTTTATTTTTATTTTATTTATTTGTTTTTTTTTCTATTTGTTATTTGAAAATTGATAATAGGAAAAAAAAAAAAAATTTAAAAACAAAAAAAAAATAAAAAAATTTTAAAAAAAAAAATAAAATAAAAAAAAATAAAAAAATAAAAAAAATAAATAGATAATTATACTATTATTTATATATATATATAATAAATATAAATAATCTACATGTAGATAATATATACATATAGATAGTATATATAGATAATATATATAGATAATATATATAAATAATATTTAATAGTAAATTTTTTTTTCAAAATTTTTTTTTTTTTATAGTATTTATTTATACAAATAACTAACTAAAATTTTATTTTATTTGTTATTATAGTTTCAGGTTCTACACCAGAAGAACCAGTAATTTCAATTAAAACTGGTAATGTTTATGAAAAAAGATTGATAGAGAAATATATAGATACTAATGGTAAAGAGCCAACTACCGGTGAACCATTAAGTCTACAAGATTTAGTTGCTATTAAAGTTGGTAAAACTGTTAAACCAAGACCAGCTACTGCTACCAGTATCCCAAGTATGTTACAATTATTTCAAAATGAATGGGATGCTTTAATGTTAGAAACCTACACATTGAAACAACAACACGAAAGTATTAGATTAGAATTAGCCCATTCAATGTACCAATATGATGCTGCTTGCAGAGTAATTGCTAGATTAGTAAAAGAAAGAGATGCTGCCAGAGCTGCTTTAGCTAATGTACACAATATAATACCACAAGCTAACCAACAATCCGCTGCCTCGACTACTTCATCTACCACAAATCCTGCCGCTGATATAGAGATGTCCAACGAGGATTCATTAGATTCTAGTGTCCTCGAAAAGATCACTGAGGCAGCAGCCGAGTTAATTAAAGCCAGAAAAGAAAGAACCACTACCAATTTCCCATCTCAGGAAGAAATTAAACAATTTAAATCTGTTGAAGCTCAAACCAAAGGTATTATTTCAAGTGTTGCTATCAATACCGAGAACGATGATGTCTTGGCTCTTGGTTCTAAAGATTGTAACATTTATGTTTATCACCGTTCAACTGGAGAAACTGTTGCATCACTCAAAGGTCACAGTGGTCCAATCAATAAAGTTTTATTCGCTCCACATAACACCATTGTCTCTTGTTCAGAAGATGCCACCATCAGAGTTGCTAAAGCTGGTGAAAACCCAATTAGAAAGAATTATTCACAATACAAGAATGTATCATGCTTTTCTGACCACAAAGCTTCTGCTACCGATATTTCACTTCATCCAGTTGGCAATTATGTTTTCTCATCATCACTCGATAAATCAATCAACATGTACGATATCGAACAGGGAAAATTATTAACAACATTTGGCTCATCTTTTGGTGTTGGGTACACTAGCGTTGCTTCACATCCAGATGGCATGTTTATTGCTTCAGGCACACAAAATGGTATTCTTAAAACTTTTGATATTAAATCAAAAATCAATAATTTCAACTTCCAAGGTTTCCAAGGTTCTATCAAATACATTAGTTTCTCTGAAAATGGTTATTATGTCAGTGTTGCCGATGACCATGTTGTCAAGCTTTATGACCTTAGAAAAGCTGGTAATACTCCATCACCAGATATCCAAACCATCAGCATCGCTGATCAAACCATTAAATCCATTGATTTTGATTACTCCAGCCAATATCTTGGTATTGCTACAAATAGTCATCTCAATATGTACAGTGTTAAAAACAAACAAAAACCACCAATTCAAGAAATCACCAATTTCAATTTGGACTGTTTAGATTTTAAATGGTCTAGACCCACTTCAAATTTATTTGTCACTTCATCAATTTCCAAAAATTTAATTAATATTTATTCATTATAAAATAATAATCAATATTATAATAATCATTTCATTTTTTTTTTATAAAATAATAAATAATAACCACCACAATAATAATAATAATAATAATAATAATAATAATAATATTAATAATAATATAGATAATCATGCAACAGTAGTAATCATATAATTTACCTTTAAAATTGATTAATTAATTAATTTTTAATTAATTAAATTTTAATATTAGCCACAAAAAAAAAAAAAAAAAAAAAATTATTGTTTAAAATATAATAATTTTATTCATATCGTTATAGTTAAATTCAAAAAAAAAAAAAAAAAAAAAAAAAAAAGAAAAAAATATAATATGTCTATTAAAATAATAAAAATAAATAATGGTCATGGTCTTAAAGAGGGATATGACTAAATTTTTTAAAAAAATCCATCATCTTAAGGATCTACTTTTATTTCCTAAAAAGTAATTTATTGCACCAATTTTTTTTTTGACAGAAAGTAGTGCAAAGAAACTAATTCTGAAAATTATTTTGATTCTGTCTTTAACGAAAAATAAAAAATATTATTTTTAAAAAAAAAAATTAAATAAATTACAAAAAACTTTTATGACATATTGTTAAATAAAAAAAAAATCATTGCATAATATTATACAATATATTTATTCACAAATGCAAAAAGAAATTGTAATTTATAAAAATATAGCAGAAGGTTTAGTTGAAAAACTAAAAAGTCATAATTATAAAGTGACACAATTTAGCACAGTAAATGATTCAAATAGGGATGAATTTCATAAATCATTATTAAATGCAAGTGGTATTGTAGGTACCCACGTCAAAGTAAATGAAGATTTATTAAAGTATGCACCAAGTTTAAAAGCAGTTTCAACAGTATCAGTTGGTTATGACGATATTGACGTCGATTATATGAGCAGCAAAGGTATTGCTGTTATGCACACTCCAAATGTCTTAAATGATTCAGTTGCAGATCTTATTATGTCATTGGTTTTAACCACTTCAAGAAAGATTGTTTTTACAATGGATTATATGAGAGACCATAAATGGAATGGCCCATTACCATTAAATTGTTTTGGTCAAGAAGTACATCATAAAAAAATAGGTATTGTAGGTATGGGCAGAATTGGTGAGGTTGTTGCAAAGCGTTGTAAATTAGGTTTCGACATGGAAGTTTCATATTATTCACGTACCCAACATAAATCAGTTGAAGATCTCTATGGTGCTAAACATTTAGATTTAGATACTCTTTTAAAAGAAAGTGACTTTGTCATTGTTATTTTACCATCAACACCACAAACCAAACATATGTTCAGCCACAAGCAATTCGAAATGATGAAGAAATCAGCAATTTTTATCAATGCAGGAAGAGGACCAGTGGTCGATGAAGAAGCTTTAATCGAAGCATTAAAATCAAATAAAATTGCAGGTGCAGGTTTAGATGTTTACGAAAAAGAACCACTCGATAAAAAATCACAATTGTTAACATTAGAAAATGTAGTTGTGGTCCCACACATTGGTTCATGCACTTCAGAAACTAGAAATTTAATGGCAGAATGTGCAGTAGATAATGTTATCAATGCTTTAAATGGAAACATCGAAAAGAATTGTGTTAACTATAATGAATTAAAAAACAAATAAAAAACATAGTGTTTTAATTTTTTTTTTTTAATTTCTTTTTTTTTTTATTATTATCTTTATTTATTTTTTAATAACAATAACAATTTAAAAAACTAAATCTGAACATTAAAAAAAAAACAAAAAAAAAAAAAAAAAAAAAAACCAAAGAAAAAGATGATTTTTTTTTATTTTTTTTTTTTAAATTTACGAAAAATAGATATTTGTTTCATTTTTTTTTAAAAAAAGCAATAATTAATAATACTAAAAAAACAATGCAAAAAGAAATTGTAATTTATAAAAATATAGCAGAAAGTTTAGTTGAAAAATTAAAAAGTAATAATTATAAAGTGACACACTTTTATTCAATTGATGATTTAAATAGAGACGAATTTCATAAATCATTATTAAATGCAAGTGGTATTGTAGGTACCCATGTCAGAGTAAATGAAGATTTATTAAAGTATGCACCAAATTTAAAAGCAGTTTCAACCATTTCAGTTGGTTATGATGCGATTGACGTCGATTGTATGAGCAATAAAGGTATTGCTGTTATGCACACACCAAATGTCTTAAATGATTCAATGGCAGATTTTATGATGGCTTTAGTTTTAGCAGTTTCAAGAAAGATTGTTTTTACAATGGATTATATGAGAGATCATAAATGGAATGGTCCATTACCATTAAATTGTTTTGGTCAAGAGGTACACCATAAAAAAGTAGGTATTGTAGGTATGGGCAGAATTGGTGAGGTATTTGCAAAGCGTTGTAAATTAGGTTTCGACATGGAAGTTTCATATTATTCACGTACCCAACATAAATCAGTTGAAGATCTCTATGGTGCTAAACATTTAGATTTAGATACTCTTTTAAAAGAAAGTGACTTTGTCGTCGTTATTTTACCATCAACACCACAAACCAAACATATGTTCAGCCACAAACAATTCGAAATGATGAAAAGATCAGCAATTTTTATCAATGCAGGAAGAGGACCAGTGGTCGATGAAGAAGCTTTAATCGAAGCATTAAAATCAAATAAAATTGCAGGTGCAGGTTTAGATGTTTTTGAGAAGGAACCACTTTCAGAATCACCATTATTTTCATTAGACAATGTAGTTGTTGTTCCACATATTGGCACGTCAACTATCGAAACTCAAAATATTATGTCAGAATGCGCAGTAGATAATGTTATCAATGCTTTAAATGGAAACATCGAAAAGAATTGTGTTAATTATAACAATATTAAAAATTTAATCAATAAAAATTAAAATAAATATATTTTTTATTAATTTATTTATATGTTACAGTTTATTTGATTTATTAAAGAAATATTAACTTTTAGCCAATGGGAGGGTATATCCCCTTCTTTTAGATTTCTCTAAGTTTAAACCAAGTATTTGGGTTTAACCAATAAATTTTGAATTAAAAATAGTGGTAGTACCTTGGCCACTGAAAATAAAACATATATTGGTATTTTTATCTATTTTCTTCAAATGCACAATTTGTCTTAGTGAAACAGAGACCAGTGAACTCACAAATATTGCATGCGTTCATAGATTTTGTTATGTATCGAAGAATGGTCCAAATGCTACCGTACCTGCCCAAACTGTAGACTACCATTTAATGACATCAACGTAAGTAATTCATTAAATTTATATTAATACAAAATAAATAATATATATATTTATTTCATTTATTATTTATTGAAGAGAGTAACTAGTCGTCAAGATTTATAGGGTAATGAAGATAAATATGACAATGATTAGATAGATATCAATCAATATTGAAATTGATGGCGGTTAAATTAATAGTTTAAATTCTTTATTCAATGTTTCATTCTTTAGAACTCGATGAAGCCTAAATTATTATTAAAATCGTTTCATTCAATGGTTCAATTATTGAAATCGATGGAATTAAGAAAAGTCATCTACATCATCCAAGAAATAATCATCTTTATCAACTTTTGTTAAAATAAATAATGCATCACACTGATTCAAATCTACAGAAAAATTCTAAATATTCCACTTTCAAATATATTTAGATAATTATTATTATATTTAGATATAAAAGATTCTAATATATTATTTAATTCTTAGTTAAGTTAAATCCAATTTTTCATTTTTTCCGCCAACACAGTCTTCATTTGTCTTCTAAAGGTAATTAAAATGATAATATCTACATTATTATATTTGAATAAAAAAGAGACTTATATTTAATTCATATTTAGTTAAATTCTTTCTCTTTCATTATCAACACGTACTATTTAAAGTCAATGCTTAAGGTAACTATAATGTTAATATTTACATAATTATTTTTTTTTTAAAAATAGAAACTAATATTTAATATTTTTTAGCTCTTTCTTTTTCAATATCAACCGTTTTCAGTATCGACCCATTTTATATCACACATTAAACATTGGGGCTATGTAAATATGGTTTTTAAATTGGTCTAGTTATGCTCATCCATCAACTATACCACAGCCAAAACTTATGCCAATATTGATCCAAAAAAATATAAAAATAATCAATTTAATTTAAAAAAACAATGTTTAAATTTGAAAAAAAAAAAATGTATAATTTAAAACAATTTTTAAATTTTAAAAAAAAAACAATGTTTAAATTTAAAAAAAAAAAAAAAAATTACAACAGAAAAAAAACAATGTTTAAATTTTGTGTAACGTTATTCAAAGTTTAAACAATGTTTAAATTTAAAAAAAAACAATGTTGAATTTAAAAAAAAAACAATGTTGAATTTAAAAAAAAAAATGTTTAATTTAAAAAAAACAATGTTTAAATTTGAAAAAAAACAATGTTTAAATTTAAAAAAAAAACAAATAAAAATATAATAGTAAAAAAAAACAATGTTTTAATTTAAAAAAACAATGTTTAAACTTGGAGTAACGTTTTAATTTAAAAAAACAATGTTTAAAATTAAAATAAACAATATTTAAACTTTGAGTATTTTTAAATTTAAAAATAAACATATATAAGTTTATAATATTGATAACAATAATGAAGGTAATAGTCGTAATATAAATAACAATAGAAATAACAATAGAAACTAATAATACCCTTTATAACAATATTCTCAAATAAAAATTAGCATCGTCACTCAGCCATAGAAACAAATTTAAAAAAAAATTCATCCACTCTTTCTCTTCTATGTCCTTTCAAACTCGGGTAAATCTGCTGAAGCAAAACTCAAATCAATTAATATAATACATGTACCAAATTAGATTTTGATTCAGGTGCATGTTTATGTACAAATTAAAAAAGTTGATATAGAGACTGATGCATGTTTATCATGAACGAAAAAAAAACATATTAAACTTAGATCCAATTAATCAAGTAGCTCATCTTTCTAATCAACTATTTTATGAATATCATTAATTGCTCTGGCCAAGCAACTATGATAGAAATCAAAAAGTTTTAGGGAGGCTTTTGTTACTATTGATCAAATTATGGAAACAGTCACAATGGTTTTTTTTAATCAAAGGTGTTTAAAAATGGCTCTCCAAAAGAATTAGTAACTGATAGAGATTCAAGTTTCAAAAATGAAGTCTTTTTTCTGTATGAATGTAAATTTATAATCAGACTTATAAAGTACAAGAATCTTTCAAATATATGAAAAGAATAATGATTTAACACCATTTTCATTTCCAAATCTATCAACATTTCCATTACAATAAAGATTAGGAATCAAAAATATCAAAATTTACCATCAACCACTACAATTAAACTATTGGAACATAAAGATTATGAAAAATCACACCTTCCATTAACTGGTAAAGAAGATCCAAGCACAATTAGATCAATCTATATTAGTAATAAACCAAAATAAATAAATAATAATTAAAATAAAAATTTCAAATTTTCTAAATAATAAATAATTCTAGTTATCAAATAAATATACAATTATTTGTTTATGAATTGTAAAATTTTTTTTTTTTAAATTAAATAGTTTAATTTTTTTTTGCAAATATATAGTTAAAAGTTTATTTATTAAAATTTTTTTTTTTTTTTTTTAAAATAATAATCACTTTTGAAGTTGATTTGATTGACGATCTATTGTAGACCTGATTTTGAATTAAACATAATATTTTTTGTTTAATTTTTTACAGTTAATTTTTTCTTCTTTAACTAAATAGAAAAGTAAAAAATTAATAAGTTGTTTATATAAATATTTTTTTATAAAATTTTATAATTACAGTGATATGTAAAGTTATTTTTTATAAAAGCAGTTTGACCATCAACAGTAACATAGATATTAAATGTTTTATTTTGATATTCATTTTTTTGTTTCATTCAACCGAATTTAATAAGCATGTATTTCCTCTTTGGGATCTAAATGAAATGGCAGCTCTTGGGCTAAGGTAGTTGCCATATATTGTAACCTCACCTCCACTTATAGGGATTGAGTTTATTTTCAAGAATGTTATCTTATTGTAAAACCTAAATAGTAATAATTTATTTGTTAATAAAATACTTTATTTAATTTATTGTACATTTTAAGCCTTCAATACAACCACAAAAATGTTCTGTGTCAGTTTTGGTTTTACATGGTTCGCCAAGTTGGCCAAGTGGTCTGCAATAAAAATGAAGATACAAATATTACAGAAACAAATAAATAAATTATAATAAAAAAAAAAACAAAGGAGAAAAATATTATTGCTAAACTTTTTATTATGGCTATTACATTTTAATAATAAAGAGGAATTATTTATATCAGCAATAAAAAAAAAAATTAAAATGTTTTAATTAAAAATTATAATTGATAAATTTAAAATAAATCTTGAAAAAAAAAATTAAGGTGATAAAAAGCATTTCATTAAAAATATAACCAACAATTTTGAAAAAATTAAAAAAACACATTTACCAAACACGTGAAATTTTTGATTTTTTTTTTCACAAATTCTCTTTTGATTTTTTTGTGAAGTGGGTATGTTTCATTAAAAACCAATAAAAAACAAAAATTTTAAATTTTTTCTTTTTTATGAATTGATTAAATTACAAAAAAATAAAATCTAAATTTTTTTTTTGTAAAAAAAAAAAAGTTTGATGGTGAAAATATCAATTTATAAGAAATAATATATTTTATTAATTTTTAGGAAGGTGTGTTTTCATAATGGGTCACCTTTGATTTGAAATGTAAAGGGCCAATTATTTTATAATACCCATATTAAAAAAAAAAAAAATTACAGTCATCATTAATTTTTAAAAAAAAAGGTTGTTTTTTTTATAATTTTATTTTTTTTCATAATTAAATAATTTTTTATCACTTCCAAAAAAAAGGATTTTGTTTATTAAAAATAATAATATCAAGAAGTTGGAAATGTAATAATGGGCAAAAAAAACCTCTAAGATATTACTAATATCATTTTTTCATTTTTTTTTTTATAATTTAAAATATTATTTTAATTTGTATGTTTTAAAAAAAATATTTAAAGACAAATTTTTTTCATTTTAAAATCATTACAAATCAATTTCAACAATCAAACAAATAATTTATTAGTGTTTACTTCTTTAAAATATATTCAAAATAAAATGTCACAATCACTTAACGGTTTAGTCACTTTATTAGCTAATGCTCAATGCCACCTTAGAACCAGTACCAATTGGGACGGTAACCACACCCAAGCCAATTCAGTTTTAAACTACCAAAACAGTAAAGATGCTAGATTCGATGGTTCAGAAGCCTGGTGTGCCTCAGTTGTAGATGCCAATCAATTCATTATTGCTGGTAATTATTTATAATGATTATTTTATATGAATATAATATCGTGTTTCTAACTATATTATTTCTTTTTCAAAATATAGGTTGTGAAATCCCAAGAACCTTTGTTGCCATTTCAATTCAAGGTCGTGGTGATGCTGGTAAGTTTTTTATAATATAATTTATTAAAAAGTATATACTTATAAAATCTTTTTTTCAGACCAATGGGTTACCTCATACAAAATCAGATACACCTTAGATAATGTTACCTGGTCCGATTATAGAAATGGTGCTGCCATTCAAGGTAGTACTGATCGTAATACCGTTGTCACTCACTTCTTTGATAGCCCAATTAGAGCTCGTTCAGTTGCCATTCACCCACTTACCTGGAGCGGCCATGTTTCATTAAGATTTGAACTCTACACCCAACCAGCCCTTTCAACCTTCACCCAAATTGGTCATGTTCAATCTGATACCAATGGTGCCTTAAACGCTGGTACTGGTGCTCGTGAAGTTGTTGTCCCAGTTACTTTCCCAGTTACTTTCAGCAAAGTCCCAGAAGTTTCACTTACTTTTGACTTAATTGATGCAACTGCTGATGAATCAAAACAAGTCCGTGTTGAAGTTGAAGCAAGAAATGTCACCTCTAAATCATTCGAATGTGTCTTCAAGACTTGGTGGCACTCAAAGGTCTACCTTCTCAAAGCTGATTGGACTGCCTCAATCAACGAATAAACAAATTGAAATTTTATATAGTTTGTTTAATTTTTGCATATTAAATAAAATTGTAAATTATAAAAAAAAAAATATATAAATATCTGCATTTCTTTTGTTAAAATTAATATTTAATTAAATATATTATAATATATTTTGTTAATGATGTTGATGATATTAATGATTGATTTGAAAATATTTTATTAAGCTTTAAAGAGTAATAGTAAGAAAATTTTTTTTTTTCCAATTGCAGGATAAGAATCGTCCTCTTCGTCGTCAAATTAAGGGCCAAATAAAATCAAAAAAAAGTTCTTTATTTTAATATTTTCTTATTATGAAATTTTATTATTTCTTAAAGTTGTAACTTTTTATAGTTGCTTTAGTGATTATTCTACAATTTTCTATTTATAATTACATATTTATTACCACATTGCAAATATATAATTTAAAAAGCTTTTTATAAAAAAATATTATTTTTAATTATTTTTAATTTTTTTTAATTTTTTTTTTTTTTTTTTTTTTTTTCATTTTTCATTTTTTTGTATTTGTGTGATAAGAAATTATATTTGTTTTTTTTTTTTTATTTACATCATCATAACAATTGTTTAACCCCCTTTTTTTGTTTTTATTTTTTTTTTCAATAAATAATAAATAATAATCAATTTAATAAAAAAATAATAATGAATAATAGTTTTATATTGTCGAAAAATAAAAAGATTGTTGAAGGTGAAGAAGACGAAGAGGAAGAAGAAATTTATGATGAGGAATATGATATTAAACCAGTAGCAATTTTACCAAAGAGTAGTAGTAATTTAAATATTAATAAAGAGATATCAATAAATGATCACCCAGAGGATTTAGTAGTTGGCGCTAATTCACCTTTAGAAATTAATAATAGCACAAAAACTGAAAATCCAGAAATACCTCTAGATTTAGATAGCAATAGCGGCAACAAAAATAATAGTAACAACACCAATAACAGTAATAACAATAATACTAAAAAAGACACAAATAGCCTTGAAAATCAATCAAATGAAAATACAACTGACTTAAAAAAATCAACAGGAGATACACCAAATAATACCACCACTACAACTACAACCACCACTGCTGCAGCTAAGGAAGAATTTTCACCAATTCAAGTGGTTTCACCTTTATCCTCACCAGCTTCATCATTATCTTCATCCATTTTATCTCAAAGCTTAAATGAGCATTTACAATCTACAGTTGCCCCACAAAGAAAATTATCAGCATCACAACAACCACAAAGAATTCCGTAAGTTTATTAATAAAAAACTTATAAATCTTTTATTTTAAAATCATTACTAATCAATTAATTGGTTATTTAAATCAGATTAAGTTTAGGTGAAAACAAACTAAGAGAATATAATGAAACTTTAAGAAAATCATTTTGTTCAAGATCACACAACCTTTATTTTTCAATTAATAGAGAAGTTACAAATGCAAACCAACATTTGTCAAGTGTACTTGAAGTTGTCAAAAGTATACAACATAATATTAGACAATCAAATGATGATATTTTAATCCTTAGCGAAAAATTAGAGCAAACCGAATGGTCTTTGCAATGTTAAAATAATAAATGTAAATAAAATTCAATAACTTTTTTTAAATAAATCTAGATTGGATAGTTTTAAAATCAATCATATTTTTTCAAAATTTATTAAAAATATTTTAGAAAAAAAAAAAAAAGAAATAGTTTTTATTTATATTTTATTTTATTTATGTTTTAGTTATCACTTTTTACATTATAGAGATTTGAATCTGGTTTCTTATTATATCTATTTGGATTTTTTTCTATGTTTTTTGTTGAACGTTTGGTTTCGATTTTTGATGGTAAAAACACATGGGTTTGATTTTGTGGGAGCTTAATACCTCTTTTAATAGCACGTTTTCTGTCAAAAGAGTTAACTACTTCGTGATATTGACCCTCTTTGAAATCGGTCAACTGTGGTAAATCGAAAATTTCACCTTTTCTATCGATAACGATTTTTGAAATTTTTTTATCTCTAATTTTGGCATTTGGATTAAATTTGACACGTGGTAAACCGTCTCTTGTTTGGGGACCTTTATAAGTTTCAATGATATTCTTTTTTAATAAAATTTCGGCAACTGCTCTTTTCTCTTGTTTACTATGATATTTGGTTTCTTTATCTAATGGTAATTGAGTTTTTGGTTTTTTATCTTGATAATCTTGATAATCTTCATCATCATCATCGTAATCGTTATCATCATTATATTTATTATTTTTAGTTGGTTTATTTTTGTTATTGCTAAAGCTTTGATTGGTACTGTTGTTTAATTTTGATAATTGTTTTCTATTTTCTACCCATGGACCTGGAATTTTAGTGAATTTACTTGTTATACCAGTTGATCTTTCTATATTATCAATTAAATGTGATTCATCCAAACCTACAGTACGTTCACCTATTTTGAAAATTTGTTTTACCGGTGAAACAAATGTTAATGAAAAACCTTCTCTTCCATTTCTACCGACACGACCGACTCTGTGAAGATAATCTTCAGAGACGTGTGGAACATCTAAATTTACAACGGCTTCTAAGGTATCGATATCAACACCACGGGCCATAACATCAGTTGATATTAATATATTATAACCACTTTCTTCATCTCTAAACATTTCTAAAATTTTATTTCTTTGTGTGATTGAATAGTCTGCATGGATGGATAATGCATTGATTTTATATTCTTTTAGCATTGCTGTTAATTTCTCTACACGTTGTTGAGTTCTTGCAAATACCAATACCTTTCTGTTCTTTAATGAAGTTTTACCCTTTCTTCTGAGGAAATAGAGGAGTAAATGTGATTTCAAACGGTAGTTAACATGATAGAAAAATTGCTTAACGGTGGTTGGTGCAGAGAGATCTTTATTTAAATCTACCATTAAGTGGTTTGGAGCGAAACGAGTTATGAGTTCATCTAATTTGTGATTAAGTGTTGCTGATGTTAAAACTGTTTGCATTGTGAATGGTCTGCTTCTTGATCTAACTTTTGGTAAGAAATCAAATATATCTCTAATATCTGGGAAGAAACCTAAATTGAATAATTTATCAAACTCATCTACCACTGTCATTCTAACTTGTTGTAATGAAACGACTTCTTGATTAATTAATTGGACTAATCTACCTGGGGTACCGACAATAATATCGACACCACTCTTTAATGTTTCGATTTGTTTCTTTTCACCAACACCACCAATTAATGTTAATACTCTAAGATTTCCTATGGATGATATCTCTTTTCCGAATTGAACATTTTTAACAAGATCGCTGATTTCTTTTGAGACTTGAAGTGCTAATTCTTTGCTTGGTAATAAAATGATACCAATTGGATCAACTTCATTAAATGGCTTCTTTTGGTTTCTATTTTTTAATCTTTTCAATCTTTCAATATTATTGATTTCTTCTTCTGATTTTTTAATTAAATTTCCATTTTCATCAAAATCTTCAACTTCAAACTCTTCTTCCTCTTCCTCCTCTTCCTCTTCTTGGAAATATTCATCGTTTTCATTGGTTGATGGTTTATTTTCATTTTCTTTAAACTCTTCCAAACCTTCAATTTCACTTTCATTAATTTCTTCGATTTCATATTCTTCTTCAGATTGAACCTCTTCCTCTTCATACTCCTCATTATCCTCATATTCTTCGTACTCTTCTTCAGATTCTTTTTGTTTCATCTTAAATTCACCATCATTTTCGTCTTCTTTATTGAAGAGTTGATAATTTTCATTAAATTCATTGTTTTTTAAATATTCTAATTTGTTTCTTTTGAATGTTGATAAAATTTGAATGAAGGGCAAGGCATAAGCAGCAGTTTTACCACTACCAGTGACAGAAGAGAATAAAATATTTCTACCTTTAAATATTAATGGTATAACTTCAGACTGAACTGGTGTTGGTTTTTCCCATTCTTTTTCTTTAATTGAATCTAAAATTTCTTTACTGAACCCAAATTTATTAAAATCTTTTTTTTCTTTTTTTTTTTTATCTCGATTTAAATTTTTAAATTTTCTTGATACTGATGTTGAATAATAGTTTTTATTTAAATCTGAATCTAAATAGCTTATGTTATGAATACTCTCTGTATTAATAGTATTTAATATGGATTTATTTAAATTAAGTTTATTTATGGATATTGGTGTATTTGTGGATGTAGTTATTAATCTACATGAAATTTTATTTAAATTATTATTATTATTATTTAATAATGAGATTTTATTAAATCTCTTTGAGAGATTAATTAAATTCATTATTTGTTTTTAATAATTATTAAAAAAAAAAAAATTTTAAATTTATGAAACGAGAGACGAAAAAAAAAAAAATTAAAAATTAAAAAAAATTAAATAAAAAAAATATTTTTTATTTTTTTTAAAACAAATAACTGATGATTTTATTTTATTTTTTTATTTAGTAAATAAATATTTTATTATTTAAAATTTGAAATTGTATTTTTTCATCTGCAACCAAAGAGTAAATATTAATTTCGTATATATTTAAATGAAGATCAAATATTTTATTTGTGATATCTTTGATTAGGTTAAAATGTTCGAAGGTTGCAGATTTTCTAAATAAAAGTACCAGTGAATATAATTGAAGTGAATTCGAATTGTTTTTGAGAATTTCTACTAATTTATACAAATCTTCAATTTTGGTCCATTCCATATTCAATAATTTTAAAACTCTGATTGATTTATTGTAGGATACAATTTGCTCTATTATAGTTGTTGCTGATTCAAGTAGTTTGTTTTTAATTGGAACAAATGATAAAGTTTTGAGTGTCCTTGTTTCTCTGAGTGCTGAAATTATATTATTATCGATTAAATCGAAAAAATAAAAACCGAGTTCTTTGATTGTTCTATTATTTAATATTAGTGATTTTAATGAGTTTGTTACAAAAGAGTAGTCCAGGTTATCAATATTGCATTCCCCCTTCATACAGAGATCAGCTAGAGCTAACCATTTGATAGTTCTATTTTCACTTAGAGTATGGATCATCATTTCAAAATCATTCTTTACTTGATTTCTATAGTTGCTCGGGAATTCGATATTTTGACAAAAGTTTTTACATGTCTTCCTTAAACTGATATCGGTAGTTGGTAACTCTACATTATTAACTGCCCTAATAATATCGTGGAAATAAATGGGAATAAACGCAATTTCTAGCTTTGTCTTTTCGTTGTTGATTCTTGCTAATGTTTTTGGCTCTACGTGATCCAGACCTACAATGTCGATTGATTCAAGAGATTCCATTTCAAATAATTCGCTGTAATCCTTGTGTAAATATGAATCTTTGTATTCCAACTTTTTAGGTAATAATTTTGTAACTATATCAAATCTATTTTTTCCTTGTGTCTCTGAATTTACTGGTGGAAATCCACATAGTGTAATTTTATTGATTTTTAAATTATTGATTTTATCTAATAAATCTTTATCTTCAAAATTAATTTTGAAATTAAATTCGACATTATCTTGAAATTTAATATTTGGATAGTCTATGTATGGATTAAAATTTTTAATTGGTTTTTCGATATTTATTAAAACCTTTAAATTATTATTATTATTATTTTTATAATCATCATTATTAACAAATTCATAGTAATCTTTATATGAATGAAATAGTCTAATATTTGGATCTTTTATTATTTTGAACTGACTATTATTGATATTGTTTACCATAAGAGGTTTAAAAAAGTCAAAACTTAGATAGCTTAAACTTGATTCTAACGATAACCTGGTCAATTTGAACCAACTCTTACACACTAATGCATAATTGATAATTTCATTATTATTTATTGCTTCATTATATCGAGCTGATCGAAATCTATATAGTTGACCATTAATTTTTTGAAATATTATAAAATCAATTATGTACCCATAAATATATAATTGCATCATTTAAATTGATTCAACTTTAAAAAAAAAAATTAAAAAAATTAAAAAAAAATATATTTTATATAATAATTCATAATTAATTCCTTCAAAATTCAAAAAAAAAAAAACCCAAAAAAAAACCAAAAAAAACTTTTTTTTTTCCATATTATTATTTAATGATTTTTAGGGCAAAGTTGATAATTTTGGGGTTTTTTTGAATTTTAAAATTTTTTTTTTAATAATTTAAATATAATTATTCATTGTAACATCAATTTTATTATTTCTAATCCCTATATAACAGTATATGATATCTTTTTAAAACATTATCAAAGGAATTTCTTGTTTAAATTTATATCTTAAAATATTGTCGAAAATCTTTTAATTTTTAAAAATACATTTTGAATTTTATTTTGTTGTTTAATATCTTATTTTTACCTCCTACTTCAATAACACAATATCATTTTACAAACACCTGATGGAAAGCCAATCTTCAATACCTTTCCACTTTATTTACAACTATAAAATAAATTTCTAATATCTTTATTAATTGGTACTAATTTGTTATTTCAAACCATAAACTACCATTGAAGAAACATCAAAATAAAAAACAACAAGACTCCTCGAACCACACACTTTTTTATTTTTCATTTTTTGTCATATTTATGCAATTTTATGTAAAAAAATATATGACAAAAAATGATAAAATATGAAGAATAAAAAGTGTATAGTTCGAGGTGTATATAATTCAAAAATCAATCAGGATAATTGTCAGAAAAATATTCACTAGAATCAAAACAAAACAGATTGATTAATTAAAAAAAAACCAACAATTAAAAATATTAAATAAACTGTTATTTTTTTTTTAAATATATATTTTTAGTAAACTTTAAATATAAATAGTTGATTTTTTAAAAAAATATGTTATAACTTAATTGGTGTTGGTATACTCTTTTTTACCAAAGCAAGAACTGAATATTATGATGCAGTAGCTATACCACATCTATCGCCGGTGTTTCTTCTCATTCTAAAAACTCCATTATTGTAAATCATCAATTACTTTTTTTAAAAAAATTATTCACTTATTTTTTAGAGATTAAAAATTATCAAAGTTGTCCTCATTTTTTTTACCTTAATTTATTATTATGTTTGTATTAATATTTAATCTTTTTTTTTCACGAATGAGCAGATAAAAGGGAGTTTAATTAATTGTTATAGTTTAAAAAAAACTTTGTATAAGAAACAGTTTTAAAAAATTAATAATATTAAAATTACCATAGATAGATAATAATTATTTGAATTAAATCAAAAATAACAGTACATACACACATTGTTATTTGTTTTGTTTTCGTCCATTTTTTAAAATTTTTAACCAATTTATATATTTTTTATTATTTTTATTTAAAATTTTATAATTATTTTTTTTCATATTTAAATTACATTCATTATAATTTTTCCTTTCAAAAACCTTTATAAAACAATATTAATATTTCATTTTTTGAGAAGAAGACATGAGTCATTAAATTTACGAGCTTAAAAAAAATATTAAATAAACTTTTATTATTTTTTAATAAACTTTAAATAATTGATTTTTTAAAAAAATATGCTATAACCTAGCAACATATGGATATGATGATGCAGTGGCAATACCACATCTATCGTCAATGTTTCTTCTCATTCTAAAATAACCTATTATTGCGAATCATCAATTAGTAATGAATAAATAAAATGTAAATAAATTAAAAAAAAAACACATACCACTCTCGCCCCAACCAGAACCCTATTATGGCCAATTTTAAAATATAAACATAATTAGTATTAATAATAATATATAATAGATAATAGATAATAATAATACCACTTACCCAACTATTTTTAATAATCCAATAATCAACACCCTTTTCTGTGCCATATCCTATATAATCAAAATTAGTCTTCAATAAATAGATATTTTTTTTTTTAAAAATATACTTACCAAGAACTACAACTGCATGTGTTGTTCTATATTTATCACAACTAGCACTATCGTAAATGCCACTCTTATAATACTTGAATTCTGGAGTAGATGCGTCATAGGCAACTGCAACTGGTCCAAATAAGCTAACAACATCAGCTAAATGATTTTCATCATGCTGTTTAATCATGGAATAAGAAGATATTGGTGAATAATTTTTAAATAAAGCACGACATTTATAAAGTCTTCCCTCATATGGATAATCTATAGCCCTTTTTATACCATTTTCCACTATATATTTAAAAGCATTATGCATCCTAAATATTAAAGTAGTGTGTTAATATCTAATACTATCTATTGATAGATATATATAATACTTACCAACCACCACTACAACCACCGTTATTATAAGTACCTGTACAATCAACAATTTGTTGTTCTGAAAACTCTTCATCCATTCCGTTTTTATTTTTATAATGTGCCTCAAGTGTGCCAATAGCAGAGAAAGCATAGCATGATCTGTAAAAAAAAAAGCAATTAATTTGATTAGTAAATAAAAATTAAAATAAAAATATAAAATAAAAAGTATTTACCCGCATTCTCCTTGATTTTTAACGTTTTTACCAATTCCCCGATCTCTCCAATCAATACTATATGGTCTTTGATAACTTTTTAATAAGCCTGGTTTGTTTGTTGGGGTCTCGGTTTGATTAGAATGATAACAAGTATAGTTGACTTGTTGTAAATCTACCAAGACTGAAGATTTCATTATATATCCAAATCTAATTGATCCGCCTATTGGAATAGATGATATCCATGATGGTAATCCATATTTATTTTCACCAATGGTTGAAACTTCCCAAATTTGTTGAGCTTGTAAATAAAAGTTGAAATCATTGATTAATAATGCTCCATCATTTGTAATGGTCACCTTAACTTGAATATAATCATCAGTTTGACCACTAACCCATGAAGTTTCGATAGTTTGTTCAATTTTAGCACTACATGGACCTGTTGTTGGTGTTGGTGTTGGTGTTTCAGTTGGAATTGGTGTTTCAGTTTCAGTTTGATTCCAAAGTGATTCATCAAGTTCACTAGTATCTAAAACACTTAAATAAGTATGTTGAAACTCTTCATGTGTCATATCTGAAAATTGAGTTAAACCAAGTTCCATTGTTGTTTCATTGTTTTTATTATACTCTTGAACAAATCTACTTGAATCTTTGAAATTTTCATAAACTTTATAAAATCTATCTGCTGAATAAGTTTTATTAAATTGATTGGACCAATCAATAAACATCTTTTGATAATTAAGTTCTCTTTTTCTGCACTCTTTACCATAATAACCTATAAAACATCCACAAATATCACGACGATGATAACGATTAAAATGATGGTTTTTTTCTATTTTATCTTTATCTGTGTTATATTCATCTTGCTCTTGATCTTCCTCTTCCTCTTGATAATATTCTTCTTCTTTTTGTTGTTGTAATTTTGTATTGTCATAATATTTACATCTGTTGCATTTTTCATCTTGAATATCATCAAGTTCAATATAGTTGTGGTGGTGATGATTATGGTGATTGTGTTTATTTGGTATTTTAACTTTTACTACTACCTCTATGGTACCATCATCATCATAATATCTATCCTCTCTGTCATTATCATCATTATATCTACTGGATGACAAAGTTATACATAATGCTAAAATTATAAATAATGAAATTAATACTTTGATTTTCATTTTATTACAATAATATTATTATAATATTTATAATTGTTATGATAAAAAATTAAAAAATTAAAACAATTTTTATGCTAACATATTTATTATTTTAGTTATGGTTTTAACATAAATAATAAATTAATTAAGGTGTTTAATTTTTTTTATTAATTAAAAGTTTCGTAAAAATTGAAGATTTTCCCCATTATAATATATAACCGTTTTTCTGTGGAAAAAAAAAAAAGTAAACCTTCGGTTTTTTTAATTGATTTTTTTTATCGATTTGTTATAAAAAAATATGATAGCGCCATATTTTTTTTAGTTTTATAAAACCCTTTTTTTAATAAACCTTTTGTAATTTATAATTACACAAAAGTTATTTTTTTATTTTCATTTCTAATTACCTTTATTATCTCATCTAATTCGAGATCAATTAAAAATATTCTAAACTGTTACAATTATTTCTTTTCAAAAAAGATCTTGTGTTTATATTTTTTTTTTTTAAAAAATAAAATTTTTTTTTAAAATTAAAAAAAAAAGTAAAAATCTTTTATTTGAAAATTAAAAAAAAAAAAAAATTGGGGGTAAAAATTTTAAAAAAAACTAATAAATAAAAAAAAGATAAAAAATATTATCAATCAAACTGTTATTTTTTTTTTTTTTTTGAAAATATATTTTTAATAAACTTTAAATAATTGATTTTTTAAAGAAATTTGATTCGAGTTGGTATTTTCTTTTTAACCTATGCAACAATCGGATATGATGATGCAGTGGCAATACCACATTTATCGCCAGTGTTTCTTCTCATTCTAAAATAACCTATTATTGCGAATCATCAATTAGTAATGAATAAATAAAATGTAAATAAATTAAAAAAAAAACACATACCATTTTCACCCCAATCAGAACCCTATTGTAAACCAATTTTAAAATATAAACATAATTAGTATTAAGTTAATACTATTAACAATAATAATGTATAATGGATAATAATAATACTTACCCAACTATTTTTAATAATCCAATAATCAACACCGTTTTCTGTTCCAAAGCCTACATAATTAAAATTGGTTTTTCTATTAATAGATAATTTATTTTTAATAGATTTTTTTTTAAAAAAAATATACTTACCAAGAACTACAACTGCATGTGAAACTTTAAATTTATCACAAGTAGCACTATAGTAAATGCCACTCTTATAAAACCTGAATTCTGGAGTACCTGCATCATAGGCAACTGCAACTGGTCCAATTGTTGAAACAACATCAGCTAAATCATTTTCATCATTTTGTTTAATCATGACATGACTTAATAGTGGCGAAAATTTTTTATTAACAGCACGACATTCTTTAGCCCTACCCTCATATGGATAATCTTTAGCTTTATTTATACCACCAAAATCCTTAATATATCTATAAGCATTATGCATCCTAAATATTAAAGTAGTGTGTTAATATATAATACTATATATTTATAGATATATAATACTTACCAACCACCACTACAACCACCGTTATTATATGTACCTGTACAATCAACAATTTGTTGTTCTGAAAACACTTCATCTATTGCGTATTTTCTTTTATAATGTGCCTCAAGTGTACCAATGGCAGAGAAAGAATAGCATGATCTGTGAAAAAAAAAAATAATCTATTTGATTAGTAAATAAAATTTTAAATTAAAAAATATAAATAGTATTTACCCGCATTCTCCTTGATTTTTAACGTTTTTACCATATCCCCAAACTCTCCAATCAATACTAGCTGGCCTTCGTAAGCTTTTTAATAAGCCTGGTTTGTTTGTTGGGGTCTCGGTTTGATTAGAATGATAACAAGTATAGTTGACTTGTTGTAAATCTACCAAGACTGAAGATTTCATTATATATCCAAATCTAATCGATTCGCCTATTGGAATAGATGATATCCATGATGGTAATCCATATTTATTCTCACCAATGGTTGAAACTTCCCAAATTTGTTGAACTTGTAAATAAAAGTTAAAATCATTGATTAATAATGCTCCATCATTTGTAATGGTCACCTTAACTTGAATATAATCATCGGTTTGACCACTAACCCATGAAGTTTCGATAGTTTGTTCAATTTTAGCACTACATGGACCTGTTGTTGGTGTTGGTGATGGTGTTTCAGTTGGAATTGGTGTTTCAGTTTCGGTTTGGTTCCAAAGTGATTCATCAAGTTCACTAGTATCTAAAACACTTAAATAGGTATGTTGAAATTCTTCATGTGTCATATCTGAAAATTGAGTTAAACCAAGTTCCATTGTTGTTTCATTGTTTTTATTATACTCTTGAACAAATCTACTTGAATCTTTGAAATTTTCATAAACTTTATAAAATCTATCTGCTGAATAAGTTTTATTAAATTGATTGGACCAATCAATAAACATTTTTTGATAATTAAGTTCTCTTTTTCTGCATTCTTTACCATAATAACCTATAAAACATCCACAAACATCACGACGATGATAACGATTAAAATGATGGTTTTTTTTTATTTTATCTTGATCGGTATTATATTCATCTTGCTCTTTCTCTTCTTCTTGATAGTATTCTTCTTCTTGATCCTGATCTTCTTCTTGTTGTTGTTGCATTTTTTGTTGTTGTAAATTAGTATTGTCATAATATTTACATCTGTTGCATTTTTCATCTTGAATATCATCAAGTTCAATATAATTGTGGTGATGATTATGGTGATTGTGCTTATTTGGTATTTTAACTTTTACTACTACCTCTATGGTATCACCGTCATCATAATGATGTCTTCTTCCATGATATCTATCTTCTTTGTCATTATCATTATATCTACTGGATGATAAAGTTATGCATAATGCTAAAATTATAAATAATGAAATTAATTCTTTGATTTTCATTTTATTAAAATATTATTATTATTGTTATGATTAAATATAAAAAAATAAAAAATTTTTTATACTAACATAATTATTATTTTGGTTATGGTTTTTATATAAATAATAAATTAATTTAAGGTGTTTAATTTTTTTTTTTTAAAAGTTTCGTAAAAAATGAAGATTTTCCCAAATATAACCATTTTTTTATGCAAAGAAAAAAAAAAAAAAAGTAAACCTTCGGCTTTTTTAAAAGATTTTTTTGTTGAGTGGTTAAAAAAAATATGATATCATTATATTTTTTTTTTAGAAAAAACAACAGTTTAAAAAAAAAAAAAAACACTTTCATTATATAAATCATACAAAGATTTTTTTTTTTATATTTCAGCTAATTCGAGATCAATAAAATTTTAAAAATATTCTAAACTGTTACAATTATTTTCAAAAAAAATATTGTTTATATTTCTTTTTTTTTAAAAAATAAATTTAAAAAAAAAATATAAAAAACAATTTTAATTTTATGATTTTAAAAAAAATTTGGGTAAAAATTTTTGAAAAAAAAAAAAAAAATAAAAAAAAGATAAAAACAAACTATTAATTATTTTTTTTTTTTAAAAATATAATTTTAATAAATTTTAAATAATTGATTTTAAAAATATATGGTTTAATTTGAGCTGGTATTTTCTTTTAACCTAAGCAACAACTGGATATGATGATGATGTAGCAATGCCACATTTATCGCCGATGTTTCTTCTCATTCTAAAATAACCTATTATTGAAAATCATCAATTAGTAATGAATAAATAAAATGTAAATAAATTAAAAAATAAACATACCTTTCTCACCCCATTCAGGACCCTATAGTAAGCCAATTTTTAAAAATAATTATTTGTATTAATAATAATGAGTTATAATATATAATAGATAATAATACCACTTACCCAACTATTTTTAATAATCCAATAATCAATACCGTTTTCTGTGCCATAACCTATATAATCAAAATTAGTTTTTCAATTAATGTAAATTTTCAATAAAATTTTTTTTTTTTAAAAAATATACTTACCAAGAACTACAACTGCATGTGTTGTTCTATATTTATCACAATTAGCACTATAGTAAATACCACCGTTATAATACTGGAATTCTCGAGTAGATGCGTCATAGGCAACTGCAACTGGTCCAATTGTTGCAACAACATCAGCTAAATCTTCTTCATCATGTCGTTTAATCATGGCAAAACTTAATATTGATGAGTATTTTTCATTACGAGCACGACATCCTTTAACAGTGGCCTCATATGGATAATCTTTAGCTCTATTTACCACCAAAATCCGCTATATATTTATAGGCATTATGCATCCTAAATATTAAAATTATAGCGATGTTAATATATAATACCATCTATTGATAGATAAATAATACTTACCATCCACCACTACAACCACCATTATCATATTTAGCAGTACAATCAACAATTTGTTGTTCTGAAAACTCTTCATCTATTCCGTATTTTCTTTTATAATGTGACTCAAGTGTACCAATAGCAGAGAAAGAATAACATGATCTGTGAAAAAACCAATTAATTTGATTAGTAAATAAATTATAAATAAAAAATGTAATATAAATTTTTACCCGCAACCTCCTTGATTTTTAACGTTTTTACCATATCCCCAAACTCTCCAATCAATACTAGCTGGTCTTCCTAAACTTTTTAATAAGCCTGGTTTGTTTGTTGGGGTCTCGGTTTGATTAGAATGATAACAAATATAGTTGACTTGTTGTAAATCTACCAAGACTGAAGATTTCATTATATATCCAAATCTAATCGATTCGCCTATTGGAATAGATGATATCCATGATGGTAATCCATATTTATTCTCACCAATGGTTGAAACTTCCCAAATTTGTTGAACTTGTAAATAAAAGTTAAAACCATTGATTAATAATGCTCCATCATTTGTAATGGTCACCTTAACTTGAATATAATCATCAGTTTGACCACTAACCCATGAAGTTTCGATAGTTTGTTCAATTTTAGCGCTACATGGACCTGTTGTTGGTGTTGGTGTTGGTGTTGGTGTTTCAGTTGGAATTGGTGTTTCGGTTTCAGTTTGATTCCAAAGTGATTCATCAAGTTCACTAGTATCTAAAACACTTAAATAAGTATGTTGAAATTCTTCATGTGTCATATCTGAAAATTGAGTTAAACCAAGTTCCATTGTTGTTTCATTGTTTTTATTATACTCTTGAACAAATCTACTTGAATCTTTGAAATTTTCATAAACTTTATAAAAACTATCTGCTGAATAAGTTTTATTAAATTGATTGGACCAATCAATAAACATTTTTTGATAATTAAGTTCTCTTTTTCTGCATTCTTTACCATAATAACCTATAAAGCATCCACAAATATCACGACGATGATAACGATTAAAATGATGGTTTTTTTCTAATTTATCTTGATCAGTATTATTTTCATCTTGCTCTTGGTCTTCTTCTTGATCTTGATAATATTCTTCTTCTTCTTTTTGTTGCTGTATTTTTTGTTGTTGTAATTTTGTATTGTCATAATATTTACATCTGTTGCATTTTTCATCTTGAATATCATCAAGTTCAATATAATTGTGGTGATGATTATGGTGATTGTGCTTATTTGGTATTTTAACTTTTACTACAACCTCTATGGTATCATCATCATCATAATGATGTTTTCTTCCATTATATCTATCCTCTCTGTCATTATCATCATTATATCTACTGGATGACAAAGTTATACATAATGCTAAAATTATAAATAAAGAAATTAATACTTTGATTTTCATTACAATAATTATAATTGTTATGATTAAAAAAAAAAAATTAAAACAGTTTTTATACTAACATTTTTATTATTTTAGTTATGGTTTTTACATAAATAATAAATTAATTTAAGGTGTTTAATTTTTTTTTTAAAAGTTTCGTAAAAAATGAAGATTTTCCCAAATATAACCATTTTTTTATGCAAAGAAAAAAAAAAGTAAACCTTCGGCTTTTTTAATTGATTTTTTTGTTGGGTGGTTAAAAAAAATATGATGGCACCATATTTTTTTGGGAAAAAATAAAAAAATAAAAATTAATTAAATTTTTTTAATAACCTTTGTTTAACATAAAGTTATTATTTTATTTTTATTTATAAGGGGGTGTAATTACCTGTATTATTTCAGCTAATTCGAGATCAATAAAAATTTAAAAATATTCTAAACTGTTACAATTATTTCTTTTCAAATAATTTAAAAAAATTAAAAAAAAAAAAAAAAATTTTAAATTTTTTTTTAAAAAATTGTCATTAAAAAAAAAGAAAATGTGCATTACTTTTAATTAAGCTTTTCCCAGAAAAAGTAATACAATAGCTTTATGCAAAGTGTTTCATAAAAATTTCTTTAAAACGAAATTTTTATTTTAATTTTTTTAATTTTTTAATTTTTTTTCAAAAATAATTCGTCAAAATAAAAAGCATAAATTCATAAACAAAGATGAAATAAGTTTTTACACACCAGTCTTATTTAAAGGTATTATTTATTATTTATTATTTGTCTGTTTGTTTTGGTTGTTTATATGTTTTCCAGCGAGAGGATTTTACACATCTTTTACATCTCCGCCACAAAAACCAAAGTCACCACTATAACAATATCGAGACATACCAGAAATCATTCAATATGATGATATAGATCAAAATGAAAAACAAAATCATTTTGTGGATTTTAATGAACCATTGTCTCAACAAAATGAAATTTATGAACAATATCAACTTTTAAATAAGGAACAAAAAGATCTTCTTTCGAAAATGAAAATCATGACGAAACATTAGTTCCACTTTTAATTCAAAATCAATTAAAACAATAAAATGATTCATCAGAAGAAATTGATTTTGATTATTACAATTGGAGATAATATCAAACACCAAACTCCTCCTCCATCGCCAGTATCACCTATAAATTTAAATATATTTTTTATTGAAATCTTTTAAAAAAAACTTGTTTTTTTTTTAAGTTTTGAAATTTTTTAATTTTTTTTGGGAAATTTTTTTTTAAGTTTTATTAATTAATTCATTATCAAAATATTTTTTTTTATATATTTTTATTTTTATTTTTTTTATTAAAAATAATGAATGAACCACTATCATCTCTAATTAAGTTTCGTGTAAATGAAGAGTTAAAAAACAGTAGCAATATTAGTTATAGGTAAGTGCAATACAATACAATACAATGCAATACAATACAATACAATACAATACAATACAATACAATACAATACAATACAATACAATAAAATAAAATAAATATTAATTAAAAGCACATTAATTGGTTTTTTCACTTTTTAACTATTTATTATAGATTATTATATATCGTTTGGAATAATATATTTTTAAGAAAAGAAATTCATAAACATATTTTAAAGTTTATTTCATATAGTGTTGTAGATCTTGATAAACCCCGTTATGACAAATTTAAAGATAAATCATATATAACAACTCTTAAGTGGGGCGGCGATCCACTACCAGATAAAAATGAATTTCCACCATTTTTAACAAGTTTATATTTGTACGGTTTTTCTAAAGTGTTACCTCCAACAACTTTACCAAATACAATTACTACACTCACATTTGGTAATGATTTTAACCAAGTAGTTCGACCCGGAACATTACCAAATAGTCTCACAACACTCAAATTTGGTTATGATTTCAACCAAGTAGTTCTACCCGACTCATTACCGAATAGTATCACAACACTCACATTCGGTGATGGTTATAATCAAGAATTTCCACCCGGCTCATTACCAAATAGTCTCGCAACATTCACATTCAGTTATGGTTTTAACCAAGTAGTTCGAGCCGACACATTACCAAATAATCTCAAAACACTCACATTCGGTCATCGTTTTAACCAAGTAGTTCTACCAGGCTCATTACCAAATAGTCTCACATCACTCAAATTCGGTGATGACTTTGACCAAGTAGTTACACCAGGCTCATTACCAAATAGTCTCACATCACTCACATTCGGTGATGATTTTGACCAAGTAGTTCTACCTGGCTCATTACCAAATAGTATCACAAAACTCACATTCGGTGATGATTATAACCAAGAATTTCCACCTGGCTCATTACCAAATAGTCTCACAACATTCACATTCAGTTATGGTTTTAACCAAGTAGTTCTACCCGGCACATTACCAAATAATATCACAATACTCACATTCGGTAATGATTTTAACCAAGTAGTTCCCCCCGATACATTACCAAATAGTCTTACAACACTCCAATTCGGAACTAAATTTAACCAAGTGTTTACACCCGGAACATTACCAAATAGTCTCACAATACTCAAATTTGGTGATGATTTTAACCAAGTAGTTAGACCCGGCACATTACCAAATAGTCTCACATCACTTACATTTGGTGAAGGTTTTAATCGGTTATTTCCACACGGTACATTACCAAATAGTCTCACGACACTCACATTCGGTGTTGGTTTTAACCAGGTAGTTCTACGCAGCACATTACCAAATAGTCTCACAACACTCACACTCGATGATGACTTTGAACAAGTAGCTACACCCGGCTCATTACCAAATAGTCTCACAACACTCACATTCGGTGATTTATTTGACCAAGTTGATCTACCCGGCATATTACCAAATAGTCTCACAACTCTCACATTCGGTGATGATTTTAACCAAGCAGTTCTACCCGGCACATTATCAAATAGTCTCACAACACTCATATTTGGAACTAAATTTAACCAATTTGTTCAACCCGGCACATTTCCAAATAGTCTAACAACACTCACATTCGGTAATTGTTTTAACCAAGTAGTTTCACCCGATACATTACCAAATAGTCTCATGACACTCACATTCGGTAATGATTTTAACCAAGTGGTTCCACCCGGCACAATACCAAATAGTATCATAACACTCACATTCGGTCATCGTTTTAACCAAGTGGTTGTACCCGACTCATTACCAAATAGTCTCACAACACTCACATTTGGTGATGGTTTTAATAAGCTATTTCCTCACACCACATTACCAAATAGTCTCACAACACTCACTTTTGGTAATGATTTTAATCAAGTAGTTCGACCCGGCACATTACCAAATAGTCTCACAACACTCACATTCGGAACTAAATTTAACAAAGAAGTTCCACCCGGCACATTACCAAATAGTCTCACAACACTCACGTTTGGTGATTATTTTGATGAAATAATTCTACCAGGCATATTACCAAATAGTCTCAAAACACTCACATTTGGGAATGATTTTAACCAAGTAGTTCCACCAGGCACATTACCAAATAATCTCACAACACTCAAATTCGGTAATGCTTTTAACCAAGTAGTTCGACCCGGCACATTACCAAATAATCTCACAACACTCACATTTGGTGATGATTTTAATCAATTGTTTCCACACGGCACATTACCAAATAGTCTCACAACACTCAAATTCGGAACTAAATTTAACAAAGAAGCTCCACCCGGCACATTACCAAATAGTCTCACAACACTCACGTTTGGTGATTATTTTGATGAAATAATTCTACCAGGCATATTACCAAATAGTCTCACAACACTCACATTCGGTCGTGATTTTAACGAAGTTATTCTTCCTGGCATATTACCAAATAGTCTCACAACACTCACATTCGGTATTTGTTTTAATCAAGTAGTTCTACCCGGCACATTACCAAATAGTCTCACAACACTCACATTCGGTAATCATTTTAACCAAGTAATTTCTCCCAACACTTTACCAAATAGTCTTACAACACTTACTTTCGGTTGTGATTTTAACCAAAAATTTCCACCCGGAACATTACCAAATAGTATTACAACACTCACATTCGGTAATCATTTTAACCAAGTAGTTAGACCCGGCACATTACCAAATAGTCTCACAATACTCACATTTGGTCATCATTTTAACCATTTTCTATCCGACACATTACCAAATAATCTCACAACACTCACATTCGGTAATCATTTTAACCAAGTAATTCTACCCAACTCATTTCCAAATGGTCTCACTACACTCACATTCGGTTGTAAATTTAACCAAGTAATTACACCTGACTTATTACCAAATGATCTCACTACACCCACATTCGATTGTAGATTTAACCAAGTAATTACACCCGGTACATCAAAAAATTACACTAAATCAATCACAATTTGTTATTATTTTAACCAAGTAGTTATACCTCACTCATTACCAAATAGTCTCACAACACTCACATTCGGTAATGATTTTAACCAAGTAGTTACCCCCGGCTCATTACCAAATAGTCTCACAACACTCACATTTGGTGATGCTTTTAACCAAGTAGTTACCCCCGGCTCATTACCAAATAGTCTTACAACACTCACATTCGGTGATGGTTTTAACCAAATAGTTACCCCCAGCTCATTACCAAATAGTCTTACAACACTCACATTTGGTCATCGTTTTAACCAAGTAGTTCTACTCGGCACATTACCCAATAGTCTTACAACACTTACATTCGGTAATTGTTTTAACCAAGTAATTCCACCAGGCACATTACCAAATAGTCTAACAACACTCATATTCGGGCATGGTTACATTGGATAAATGGTTGGGTTCACATACCCCTAATATTGAAGCTACTTTTTGGGATGCAATCTTATCATTACTTCCGAAGAGAGTTTCAATGTAAATTATGTTTTAGTGCTTAAGAATTAATTGAACATTTAGGTATCATTAAACATGGTAGAATTAAACGTCATGATAAAGTAAAAGCCGACACATTAAACCCAAAAACCAGAGACGCAACCACCCTTTCAATACTGAAGTTTAAAGATTTCATTAACAAACTCCCTTTACCAGAAGTTGAAATATACCAGGATTTCAATCACAGGTACTCTCCCTTGAAAGTTGGCATAAAAAATTCAAAAACTCAATATAATAATTTATTTCCTAAAGAATTTACCCTCTGCTCATTATTCCCTATTTAATATATATTTTTACTTATTTTTAATCCTATATTATGTTACTTTTGTAACATGTTAAATAATAACATTTAAATAAAATAATCAGGGATGATTAATATTTTCCTACCAATGTTTAATTAACACAATAAGAGGCTCACTCCATTGCTAATTTATTACATTTGAAAGTTTGAAATGTAAGCATTATCTCACAAAAAAACAAAGAGGTATAGATATCAATGGGCGGAAAATTTTTAAGGTGTTACTCCTCACCTTGGTAATGTGCGGGGTGGAGCTACTTGATTAAAATGATCACCAAATGTGAGTGTTGTGAGACTATTTGGTTGTGATCCTTTTAACAGTTTAATTTTTAAAGACATAGATTATTAAAAAAAAAAAAAATTAAAATAATAAATGTGGTATTTAATACCTTCTTCATTTATTCCAATTTAAAATTAATGGTTCTTAAAAACTCTTCTAAGTTTGTTAATTTTGTAATATTTTTTGCAATTGTTTTATCAAAACTACTTGGAAAGTATGAAAATTCGTTATAATAGTCAAACATGTCGGCAATAGTACCTGCTTCTAAATCATTTGATTTACGATATTCGGTAGTTGGAATATAATTGTAAACTACTTTTTTACCGGTTACTTTTGAAAATATTTCAGCAACTTGGTCACCTGTTAATTCGTCTGAAGATAATGGGACTATGATACCTGAATACTTTGCTGGATTTTTAAATTGTTCACTTACAAGCTTTCCAATGTCATTAATGTCGCCATAATCGAGTTTGAGATCTGGTTTACCTGGTAGTGTAATCGAATATGAATCGCTGTCACCTTGGGTTTTAGCTGGTGGGTAATAAGTTTGGAAATTTTGATGATACATTGGGGCTGAAACAAATGATGATACAAATTGATCATTGCTTTTTTTTGATATTTGTCTAATATGCTTTTCAATTTCATATTTGTTTTCGAAATCTGGTAATCTAACTTTACCACCTGTAATTTCCATTGTGTTTGGAAGTGTTGAAAACACAATATGCTTGACTGTACCAGCTAATAAAGAAGCATCTGCAACCTTTACACCATATTCAACTTCATTTTTAGTGTATGGTGTTAGAGTTACTAAATATACACCATAGCTACCCTGTAATACTTGTGCAATTTCCTCTTTTGACTTCTCTTCAAAGTCATATTCAATAACTTCAACACCCAATCCTCTTAATTCTTTTGATACATTTGAATTTAAATTTCTTGTAAATGTTTTAACTTTAAATCCGTCTTTTATTAACTCTCTTACTACTGACCCACCCTAAATTAAATTATTATCTTTATTAAAAATTATTTTTTTTTAATGTATTTTAGATATATTATTTGTCTTACCTGAAGACCTGTACCATTTAAAACTGAAATTAACTTTGTCATTTATTTAATTTGGTTATATTTATTTATTTATTATTTTCTAATGTATTTATTTATTTTGTTGTATATTAAGGTATTAAAATGATGAAAAAAATAAAAAAAAATAAACTTTTTATAGACTAGAAAAAAGAATAAAGAATAAAAAAAATTTAAAATAAAATAAACTTTTAAACATTAAAACAACTAATATTTACAAAACAAAAAAAAAAGAATCTTTTAACATCATAATAAAACCCGAGCAGATTAACTGTTTTATTCGAAGAAAACCTAAAAAAAAAAAGAATCAAAAGAAAAAATAAAAAAATTAAAAAAAAAAAAAAATAAAAAAATTAATTTAAAAATAAAAAGAAAATAAAAAATTAAATAATATATTATTTTTTTATTTTTTAAATATTTTTTGCATAAAATAAAAAACAATTTTTAGTAATGGTTTGGTGTCGACAAAGTATGCTCTTTCTATTCTTTTAAATTTTCTATATTCTTCGTTGATGTTTATGATTAAATTTGGTATTCATTGATGTGTGGCGATTCCATTAAAGGATTGTGAGCTTTAAATGAAACAAGAACATGTTGAAGCCGAAACTAATGAATTAGAAATAAACTAAATAAGTATTTAATATTAGTTTCTTTTCTATTAAAATATAATTATGTTATTATAATCTTTATAGTTACCCTAAAAATATATATAATTTCCTTCTATATTTAATACTTGAAAATTTAGAAATTTTTTTAACTTTTTTTTGATTCTATAAATTTGAACTAAATTGATACATAATCAAATCTTAATAATTTTTATCACATTAGTTCAAATTTGTAGAATAAAAAAATTTAATAAAGATTTGATTATTTCTTGGGATGATACATAACTTTTTAACTGTTTTCAACTTTATCGAAATCATTAATTGGCATTGAAAGAAGAAACTGAACTATTAATTTAATCGCCATCGATTTCATTATGACTCAATATCCATAAGTCAACAAAGTCTGGATCGATCTATCTAATGAGAAACCTAGATATAAATAAATATCTTCTAAAATTTCTTCCTCATCATATGAATTATAAACTTGGTCTTTCCAAACATTATTTGATAACCATTCAATATTAGCTTTGCTCTACAAATAATTAATGATATATATAAATATATGCTTTATTAAAGATGTATAAATATGAATAAATTACTTACATTAATTATTAAAACTTTTTATTCTGGGCAAATATTGCTATGTTTGGATCATTTTTATGCATTCGAAACAAAATTTATGATCACAACCTAAATATGAGACATCCATTGTATTCATTTGGGAATAACAAATTTACAATCGTAATTCCTTCTTTTTCTAAATATATTACCAAATGTAAAACTAATGATTGCAACAAAAAAGAAAAAAATAAAATTTAAATCCATTGTTGTATTAAACTATAATAAAGAAGATTTGTGAATGGTGATTTGTTTGAGCCATTAATTTTTTGATTGAGCACAACATTTTCTTTTTTGAGCACTACATTTTCTTTTTTGAGCCCATTAATATCTTGTTTGAGTACAACATTTTCTTTTTTAAGCACTACATTTTCTTTTCTGAGCCCTTTATTAATATGTGGTGTTAAAAATTATATTATTAATATAAAAAATTATTAGCAATATTAAATTTTAATCATTGTATGGAATATTATAATAAATAAACAAATGTATATAATAATGTATATTTGATTAAATAAAAAAGAAAAAAAAAAAAAAAAGAAAAGTTTCTAGAACTAAAACATAAAAATAAAAATAAAAATGAAAATAAAAATAAAAAAATATATATATTTATTAAAAAAAAATAAATAAAAAAACCAATTTTACCACAAACAGAAATTAATCTAAAATTATTATAAGAAATAATTTTTATTGAATATTGGTTACTATTTTAATTTTATTATTGAAATTTCTAAAATAATTTTTTTTTCAATCTTTATTATAATAAATAGCTTGTTTATATATTTAATAAAAACTGTGTGGGTGTAATCCCATTTATTTTTTATAATAATTTTATATTAATTTCTGTTTGTGGTAAAATTGGTTTTTTTATTTAACCACAAACAGAAATTAATCTAAAATTATTATTATAATATGCATTTTTTAATTGAGCCTTTTATTGGTCAATGTAGAAAAAATAGTTGGTTATGGTATCAACTGTGTTATGATTTTTTCCTTGCTAATGAGAAAATAAAAAACTGTTATCCAGTTTATATTCCATTTTTATTTATTTGAAATTTAGAATTAATTAATCCCCTTTAAAATAATATTTATTAGTGTGATTGATAATAAAAAAAAAATAAAAAATATAAAGATAAACTGCACTAAAAAAAATCATGTTTCATTGATACACAATTTTATTAAATTTATTTATATTATTATGAAGATAAATCGTGCATGGCCTCTTTAATTTTCTTATCTTCAAACCATTCTGTATCGTGTGGACCACCAATAAATTGAAAAGTACCGGAGGATATTCTTCTTAAAAATGGTAATTGGTTGCAAGTCCAATTATACTTTTTGCTGCCTGGTAAAAGTTGAATTTCGCTATCCTCTAAACCATCTAATTTGTTTGTTTTATTTTTATTTTTACTTTTATTTTTACTTTTATTTTTATTATTTATATTATTTGAAATATTATTATTATCACCATCTAAAACATTATCGCTATTGTCTAAAATATTGTTATCATCATTATCTATATTTTTATTATTATTATCTATATTTTTATTATTTTGATTATTATTATTGTTTTTATTTTGGCTATTTTCAATATTATTTTCAATAATATCTTCCTTGCTGTTTTCACCATTATTTTTATTTTTTTTATTATTTTGGCTATTTTCATTATTATTATTATTATTATTTACATTATTTTGAATTTTAGTTGAATCTATCTTTTTAAGATTTTCATCTTGATTATTATTTTTTAATAAATTATTTGATTTCTTAAAGAATCTATATTGCATTGGGAAAATATGACCTTCGGTATTAAAAATAATTGATTCCATATCTATTGGATTTGGGTTTGAATTGTTGAAATTATTATTAAAATTATCTTCGGTATTGAATAATAAAAACAAATATTTGCATGTTTCTGATAAAAAGAAAGACTCCATACGATCGTCTAGTTGATGGGTTTCAACATCTAAAACATTTGCATGTCCGCATTTTGTAGTTGTTAAATTATTTAAAGTCCAAACTAAATCCTTACCCATTCTAACAAATATTGGATCCTTAGTGGTTTGATACATGTGATAAAGTGATTCTGCCAATTCAGGTCTTAGAGGATAACCTTTTTGGTTTAGTTGAACGTTGCCGGATAATAGATTGTATCCCTCAGGAATGAAACCATATCTTCTCCAAACAATATGAAATGATTTGATGGTAGAGAAAGCGCTTTCATAATCTCCATACATCGATTGCACACCGGGCCAAAACGATTGAAGACTATTATAAATTGGCCAAACGATAGCGCCACGATCAATGCTAACATCCACATACCATGGATCCTTTTTGATATATTTATTTATTAATTGATAGTTCTTAAAAAAGAGGTCCATATACTCTTCATCGTCAAAAAAGATTGCAGCTTTATAGAGATACTCGTAAAATGAGTCTATACCTGTACCAATACCACTCTCTCTTATTGTCCATTCACCTGTGAATATATTAATATGATTTCCAAGTAACTCTATATCGGATCTATATAACCAAATGGAACGAACTGCTCTTCTTGCAGCCTCTTCATATTTTGGATCGTTTGAAAGTATCGAAAGTATACCAAATTCTAATGAGAATGTTGTTGAAGACGCAGTTGAGGTTATTGGTGTTTCGCCCATTGGTACACCATGCTTCAAATTGACAGTACCATACGGTATACCGGTTGGCGTTTGGAATGCCCTTAATAATCTATCACCCAAATCGATTGCCAAGTCCAATAGTTTTCCACTATATTTCTCTTTACCTAGATGTTCCTCTGCAATTAAATGAGATGATAATAATCCACCCAATACTCTAATGTTGGTTTCGAATACTGATACAGTGATATCGTTATTAAAATTTATATTTTCGATTACCCAATTAATTCCTCTTTCAAACTCTTTCATATCGCCCATTACTACCAATGTATCTAAACTATCTATAAATGTTAATGCATAATCTCCAAACGTATTGCTACCTGTACAACTAATTGGCTTTAACTCATCTTTTGGAAAACTATATTTTAAATAACTTTTATATCCATGATAAAACATCTTTTCTACATCATATCTAAAAAAAACAAAAAAAAAAAAAACAAAATTAATACATTAAATTTATTTTTAGTTTCAAAAACAAACAAAAAATAATTAACTTACTTTAATTTTTCTTTTAATATTGATGTTGGAATACTAATATTACTATATATTTTATTATTATTATTGTTATTGTTATTTTCTAAACTATAAACCCCTCCCCTAATGTGATTGATAAATATCAAAATTATAAAAATATATATATATTTATAAAATGATGATATTTCATCATATCTTTTTTTTATATCCCTTTATATTATAAATATATATTAAAAAAAGAGATAATGAAAGTATTTAAATGTAGTTGGAAGATGAATTTTAAAAAAAAAAAAAAAAAAAAAAAAAAAATTTTAAAAATAATTTAAAAATAATTTAAAAATAATTTAAAAAAATAATGAGGTGTCGAAAAAAAAAAAAAAAAAATTATCATGACCTATTATATATGTATATATATTAATAACAATAATAATAATAATACCAATAATAATAATAGGTAATTATAACGAAATCAATTATAAAATTAATAAAGTTAAAAAATTTAAAAATAAAATTAAATAAAAAAAATAAAAAATAAAAAAAATAAAAAAATTTTATATAAATTTTTTAAAATTTTTTTATTTTTTTTTATTTCGAAAACTTTATTTTCATAACAATCAAATAATTCATTTATTTATTTATTTATAAATTTATAGAATAATTATTTCTCAGTTTAATAATGTTATTCAGATCCATTTTTAAAAGATTTTCAACTGAAGAAGAAGAGAATAAGAAAAAGGTACTTGCTAAAACCAATATGTTATGGTTCTTTTTAGTATCTGCTTCATCATTTATCATCTATACTGTTTTTCAAAAAAGAAAATTATTAGCTCCAGCTTCAGCTTAACAACATAAAACTATAATATAATAATAATAACAACAATAATGCAATAGTACAATGAAAATAATAAAACTTTATAAAAATAAAATATAAATATTAACGCAGCAAATAGCTATTTGGTTTATGTTAAATCTCTCTCAAATAAAAATGTATATCTAAACAAATTAAAAAAAAAAGGAAAAAAAAGAAAACACAAATTGTATATAATAGTCAAATAAATAAAAAATAATAAATAAAATTTAAATTCACATAGTTTTATTTAAAAACATAGCTATAGTAAAAAAAGTCTTTTTTTTTTTTATAAACTTTATTTAATAACAATATCATTTTTAATTTTTTGGCCATGATGAAGTTGATGTTGAATGACTTTGTCGATTTTCTTCGTCTATTAATGCATCAACAAGTTCAGATTGTGTTATTGAACTATCTATATTTATATCATCGCTTATTTTTAAACTGTTAAAGTTTATTGATTGATTTTTCATTTGACTATGATATTGTTGTTGTTGTTGTTGTTGTATATATTGTTGTTGCTGTTGCTGTTGTTGTTGTTGTTGTTGTTGTTGTTGTTGTTGTTGTTGTTGTTGTTGTTGTTGTTGTTGTTGTTGTTGATGCTGTTGTATATATTGTTGTTTTTGTGGATGACTTGGTAATGGTTGCTGAGGCTGTTGCGATAAAAACAAATTTCTACATTCATTAGGCACCATACCAAGCTCTTTACCTACCTTTATCCATTCAAATTTATTTCTTTGTGCACATGCCGGTATAGTTTTGGATAATCCAGTGATGTATTATCATTATAATTATTACTAATATTATTATTATTACTATTATTATTATTATTATAGCTATTATTAACATTTGATTGTTGTTCATAAGTTTGAATATTTCTTAAACTATCATTCGGACTATAATTTTTATTACTGCTATTCATACTATTGACATTACTATTATTATTATTATTATTACTATTTACATTACTATTTGTACTACTGTTGGTATTCCCAATATTGTTTAATAAAGTTTCGTTTTGTAATTTCATAAATTGTTGTTTGTATAAATGAGAGGCTCTTAATTTACATTCGCTTTCTGATATATTTAATCTTGAAGAAATCGATTCCCCTTTAAAAATAAAAATAAAAATAAAAATAAATACTCTATATTAAAACTTTATTTATTTTAAAATTGATAAAAATAAATTAATTACAATCTATTTCGTTTGGTTGTGAATGCAGAGATATGAATCTCCACAATAAATTATCCTTTTCTGTATCCCAACTTACACTTGTTGGTCTCTTTCCCGGTATCCTCACTATTATATTCATATGATTAATTGGAATATTCATTTATTCGGTTATATATATATATTTTGTATTACTATTTATAAATAAGTGTGTTAATTAAAAATAAATAAAATAAAAAAATTAATTTTAATTTAAAAAAAAAATAAAAAAAATAAAAAAAAAATTTTTAATTTTTTTGATTTTTTCTTTTACTTTTTTTATTTTTTTTTATTTTTTCAAAATATCATTGTTAAATTTATTTATTGTCATTAAATTGTATATATAATTATAGTTTATAGAATTATACAGGTGTAAATAATGGAGCAACCAAAATATTTTTCAAGCTTATTAGGATTTCTTTTAAAAAAAGAATATGAAAAAGATCCAGCATGCGATTCTATCGAAACATTAAAAGAACTTGTATTTTCAGAACAAGAGGATGTTACTTTAGAAAGTAAGTAAAATATAAATATGAACATAGATATAAAGCAAAATTATTCACTTAATTTATTAATTATACTATTATTTATTTAGTTATTGAAGCTACATATAATAAATGCTTTGATATAATACAAAAAGCAGCTTATTCAGATATGCAACTTTCTTCATTCGAAAATTTAGTTAAAGAAGTAATAGATACATCTCTTTTTTAAACCATACCATTGTAAACATTATATTAACGAGAATCTTTTATTTTATTTTAGAGTAATTTTAGTGAAATACAAATCGAATGTTTAAATAAATTTTGGAAAGTAAATAAAAAGAAAATTCATGAAATTTTATATAAAATTACCAAATTTAATAACTCATTACAAAAAATGAGTTGGAGAATCGATTTAAAAACAAAATCAAAAGAAATTAAAGAAATTAACGAACCTGTATCAATTATAGAATTAAAACTTAAAAATAATAACACCAATAGCAACACCACCAACGATGAAAATAATATAATCAGATTTGAAATGGATAAAAATCAATTAGAAGAAACTTTACAACAAATTAATAATATTCAAAAACATTTACAAACTATTTGAATAAACTATCTTTTTTAATTAAACTAAAAAATAATAACAAAAACCAAATATCCATTTTTTCTTTAGTCAACGAAATAATTTATAAAATTATTTTTATATACTATAGTTTATTATTGTTATTGTTATTAATAAAAATAATGTTTTTAGATATATAGTTATTTAAAATAATTTTATTTTTTTAAAATTTATAATTATTGTTATTGTTATTATTTTATAAAGTCATTTACAAACGAGATAAGTTTCCGTGACGTGCAATGAGAAAAGCAGAAGAAGCAGCTAAAGAAGCAACAGCCATCCAATCGTAAGAGATGAAATCATTAAAACCTGATGGTCTATAACCGAGTTTTTCGACGCAGAGTTTTTGAATTGATTCGAGATGTTGAATTGTTTTATTGGCTGATGGATCATTAAGTGGAACTTTTTGTTGCATTTCATTTGCGAATTTAAAGAAGAGTTCGTAGGTACCAGTGATACCTTTATTTTGAATGGCATCGACAATAAGGGCTCTTTGACCTTTACGAATTTTAACTACACCAGTGAAAACATTGTAATTGTTGTAGCAAGCATTTAAGGTACCAATAGCCATAACTTGTGGAATTGCACAGAAATTAATAACTTTATCATTCTTTAAACGACTCATGTAATCTAATGCGACGACAGCATGTGAAAGAGCATTAGTGATGAGGTCATTGAGACAATGGAGAGCAGAGATTTGGTATTTTGGATCTTTAAAGTTTTCTAAATTTAAAGTGTAACGACTCCAAACATCACGTGGCCAAAATATTCTATTTTCATTAATATCTTCTAAATAGTCTCTGATAATATTGGTTTTTTGTAAGAATAAACCCATTTGATTTGATTCTTCATCAGCAGTGGCAAACCATTCACTTTCTAATCCTGATGCATGGAAAATTCTACTTAAACCAATACCAACTAAACCAGCAACATAGTGGCAATAGAGATCCCATTCTGGTAATGTAACAACTTGTTTTTGAAGGAATTCTGACATACCATTGGCCATACGACGTGTGATATCATGAATAATAGTACAATAACTGTCACCTAAACTTAAAAATACATCTACTACTTTATCAAAATTTTGAACCAAATTCTTTTCATCATTATTCATACCATATCCAAATACTTTAAATCCTGGTTGATATAAACCTTCTGAAAATTGTGTCATAACTGGTAATTTAGTTTTAATTTCAACTGTTGTATCATCTTCAATTGTATCTAAACCTCTTAATACTAAATAAAAAATACAAATCTTTTTAATTATATTGAGATAAAAAAAAAATTAGTATGGGTGTGTTTAAAAATTAAAAAATTAAAAAATTGTGTGTGACGGGTGTATTTTTGAAATTAAATTGTACTTACGGCATCTTTTAAATTAACTTCTAATTCATTAATTACAAAAGCAAAACTTCTTGAAGTTTTATTTAATAATTCGTAACACCACTCTTTATTTGTTAAATTATCTTTGAGTTGCTCTTTTGGTTTGAATGATTCAGTATAACCAATCTTTAATAATGAAAAAAATTCATCTGGATGAGCAAGGGATTTCATATATTGCATCTTGTGTATGTGAGTTTATATTTAAATTTAATAAATAATTACTATAGTATATATTTATACAAAAAACAATAATAAATTTAAAAAAAAAAGGGCGAAATAAATAAATAAAATTTAAACCAAGTGTTTTATATTTATTTGTGGGGGTTGAGAGTGTGATGTGTTTAAAATTTTATTACTATCAGTAAACAATTTATTTATTTTGATGTGTGAGGGTGAGAGCAACAAAAATCGTTATTCGTTAAAATTTTTTAGTTTTTTGGAAAAAAAAAAAAGATAAAAAAAAAAAAATTAAAAAATAAATTTAAAAAAATAAATATAAAAATAAAAATAATTTAAAAAAAAAAAAAAAAAAAAAAAAGATTTTTATTTTTGGTTTTTAAAATAATTAAGCTCTGTGTGATGATAAATTTTTTTGTTTATTAATATACAACACCAATCAAAAAAAATTCAACCAAAAAAAAAAAAAAAGAAAAACATTATGGTGTGATATGCCACACAAAAATTAAAATATTTTATATATTGAATATTAAATGTGAAAGTTTTTTTTTTTTTTATAATACAATTTATCCAAATACCTTTATTTTATTTTTTATTTTATTTTAATTTATAATATTAAAATATTGTAAGGTTATATTTCAATTGATTCATCATTTGATAAATCTTTTTTGGTTCTAGTTTTTGATTTTTCATTTTCTTCCTCCAACTTTTCCTTTAATTTCTTTTTTTCTCTTTCTTCTTTTCTTTTTTTCTTTTCCAATAATAAAGTGATATCCTCTTTTTCCTTTTCGATTCTTTGTTCTAAACGATCATATTCCTTGTTGTTTTTTTCAATGTTTTCAATAGTTTTCTTTATGTGTGATTCATTTTTCTTGACAAAAGAGTCCTCTTCATCTTTTAATTGACGTTCTAATCTTTCAACTAGTTTCTGTTGATCTTTGTCGATTGATGATTTGAGTTTATCTTTTTCTTCTTTTGATTTGTTTTCTAATTCATCCAATTTCTTTTTATGTTGAAGGTCATTTTCAGATTTGAGCGATGTTAGTTTGGCGATACGGTCTTCTAAATCCTTTTTAGATTGCTCCAATGATTTCTTTGACTTGCTGGCATTGTTCAAATTTTCTAAAAGTATTTTGTGTTTATTTGTGGAAATCTCACGGTCTTTGCTTGCTTGATCTTTATCTTTTTTAATATCACTAACAATATCTTTGGCTTGGTTGAGCATTGCTTCCAATTTTTGTTTCTCATCTTTAATTCTTTGGTTCTCTTTTTCTTTTTTTTCTAAAAGTTGTTTCTTTTGATCAAGATCTTTTTCAGTTTTGCTTAAACGATCAGTGTATCTTTGATACTTTAGATCAATATCTTCTTGAGAGTATTTTCTTTCCAAAATTTCTTTTTTCATTGTTTCCTCTTGAATCTTTAATCTAGCGAGCTCTTTACCAAGCTCTTGATCGACCTTTGATAACATTTCCTTTTCTTCTTCTTGTTTGGATTGAATAATCTTTTTAATTCTTCTTTTTTCATCTTTAATTTCTGCTTTCTTTAATTCGATTTCAGCTTGATCATCTTTGGTGATTAGTTCTAATTTTTGTTTATTGATGATGGTTTCATCCACTTCAACATTCATCTTTTCTACCTTTTGTTCAAGATCTCTGGTTTCTTTCATAACTTGGTGTGATATTATAACTGCTTGTGTAGTTTGATCTCTAAGTTCGGATTTCTCTTTCCAAAGTTCTTTATTTTTATTTTCTAAAAGTTGGTTTATTTGTTGTTCTTGTTGTAAAAGATCTTGGTTCTTATTTGCATCTTTCTTTAACTTCTCTGCCTCCTTTTCTGCTTGTTCTTTGTGAATAGTTTGTAAATGAATATCACGTTCTAAATCTCTATTTTTGTGGTCCAATAGCTCTACGTATCTCTTTTCATTTTCATTGTTGTACTCGTCTTTTAAAAGTTCATTTTGAGCATGAATCAATTGGTTCTTTATCTTTTCTTTTTCTTGGTTAATGATGTTTTTGGTGCTTTCAAAATCTCTTTTTATCTTTTCAATGGTTTCACGGTTCTTCTTTTGAATTTCATCGATCTTTAAATCTTTTTCTACGATGACTTGATCCAATTCCGATTCTTTTTCATTTAGTTCATCGGTTGCCTCTCTTTTCTTTACAGCAAGACGTCTTTTTTCGGTTTTGGTTTTATCGAGCTCTTCCTCTGCTTCGATGGTTTCGACCTTGATTACTTGTGTTTGTTGTTGAATATAAACTTTATCATTCTGTAATCTATCAATTTCATAACGGATGTCCCTAACTTGTTTTGTGGTCTTATCGATTTGTCTTTCAGTTTCAACTCTAGTTTTAACCATTTTTTCAGTACTCTCTTTAGCACGTGTTAATTCATCTTGAATTTTCTTTTTGGCTAATGATATACGATGTCTATCTTCTTTGGTTTCAACCAATGTGGTTTTCAACTCTTTTTCATTATGTTTAAGTTCAGTAATTTGGGTTTCAATTTGTTTTTGTTGTTCCTTGACCTCTTCGAGTTTTCTTTTTGTCTCTAATAAACCTGTACGCTCTAGTTGAGTTAATACTTCTTTTTTCTCTGATTCTAAATTTGATTTTATAGATTCAAGTTCTTTTTCTTCATTTTGTGCCTTTTGTTTTAATTGTTCAATCTCTCTATGGGTTTCATCAGATTTGGTTTTGAGGTCATTGAATTGATTCTCAACAGATTTTACTATATCATTTTCGATCGATTGAATTTCTTGTCTTTCTTTTTCAATTTCAGCTAAAAGCTCCTGTTCGCTTGGTAAAGAGGTTTCTTGAATTAGTTTTAATTGCTCTTCTAATTGATGAATTTGACTACCGAAAATATCTCTTTGCTCCTCAAGCTCTTTTTTGAACTCTTCTACCTTCTCTTGGAACTTGACTTCCAATTCCTGATCCTCCTTTTTATTTTCTTCAATTCTCTTTTTAATCTCTTCATAAACCTCTTGCTTTTCAAAGTTCTTTTCTTGATAACGTTGGATCTCCTTTTCAAGTTTTTGGATGGTCTCTTGGTCAATATCCAATTTCTTATCGGCAACCTTTGAGATTTCAATGGATGGTACAATAGGTTCTTCTTCACGTGCTTGATTGAAACGATTGAAAATATAGGCAACAAAAGCGATATTTAAACGTGAATTTCCACTAACTATATCTTGAGCTGAGATAAATTTCTTGCAATCAATTTTATTGATATTTTCTAAAAATAATTTTGCACGATTACTAAGGTCACTTTCATTTAATAATTCTAAACCACATGTTGTTGGTGATAATTGATTAAAAAGTAATATATACACTTCACAATCTTTAATATCACTACCAAAGTTTGTTACTCTTCTATCTGTACCTGATTCTGCTAAATGATGATTAATCCAACGTACTAAGATTTCATCTGGTACTAATTCTTCGATTCTATCCTCCTCAGTTAAATCTAAAATCTCTGCTTTAACTCTATATGCTAGTTTTGAAACTTTATTCAATAAATCAATTTTAACCAATTGCCATAAAATTGATAAAATTAAATGTCTCTAAAAAATGGTAATAATAAATATTAATATATCTATATTTATATGAATAATACCTTTATAATAATACTGATAATGATAATACTTACTTTTCCTTCTTGAAAATCAACAGCACCAATATTTACAGTTGAACAACCTATTTTTTTTGCAGCCTTTAAACAATTTTCTAAATTTACATTCATTTCAAAAATATTAATTTTTGATGTATTAAACTTTAATGAGCTTTCATTAATTGTTCCTGGTTTAATTGCATTAATTAATTTACTAAATATAAAATAGTTGAGCGTTAGTTTTAAATCTATTGTATTTAATTATTAAAAGTAAAACTATATATTTACCATAAAATTACACCATCTTTTAATGAATCGAAAATTAAATCGGTTTTTGGATCTATTGGAATTCTATTCTTTAATAACTTATCATCTTTTAAAAGAAAGTTTAAATGCTCTACAAGACTTTGCTTCTCTTCATCGTGATATGTGTGTACATAATTAAAATTGCTTGATGATTGGGTACTAACTAATTTACGAGTTGTTAAATTAGCCAAGTTACTTGATGAATCATTACTAACTAATTTACGAGTTGCTACATTTGTTGTCATTTTTAAAATTATTTATTATAAATTTATAATTTAATGTAGGAGCAAAAAATATTATTTTTATATTTTATATTTATAATGATAATTTTATTTATTACTATTATTATTTTATTAAATAATTATTATATTTTATTTAAATTTTATTTATAAAAAAAAAAAAAGCAAAAAAAAAATAAAATACTTTTAATATATATGATTGGTGATGTTATAGAGTTAATGTTACAGGATTTTTTTTTTTGTTTTTAACTATCCAGTTTATGCTTTAAAATAATAATAAGGGAATAATTATAATCGTATAATGACACAGATATTGGGTTTATTATTTGTTTAAAAAATTTTAAAAAATTTTATATTGTGGTGTGTTTTTTTTTAAAATTTTTTTTAAAAAAAAAAAAAATAATTAATGAAAAATTTCACCCACTTTTGCTTATATTTATATAAATAGATATAATTATATGAGTATTATGATATTTAATATAATAATTACTGTTTATTATTATAAAAAATTTAAATGTACCAAAAATATCAACAAAATTTTTTTCAAAAAAAAAAAAAAATAAAAAATTAAAATTAAATAAAAAAAAAAAAAATTTTAATCAGTTTTGAAAAAAAAAAAAAAAAAAAAAAAAAAAAACCTTATCTATTTTTTATATAAGCAATAAAAATTATAAATAATTAAAAAATTCTTCTAATTATTTTATTTGTTATTTTTATTTATTTTTATTTTTTCTATAATTTATTATTTATTTAATTTTTGATTGATTGATTGATTAATTGTGATATTTTATATTTATTAATGATTTTAATTTTGGAGCTATATCGATTACATTCATATCATTCATTGCACGACCATCGTAACCACCGAAAATATAAACCCTACTATCAATTACATTAGCACTGGCCATATCACGTGGATCGGGACTTGTACAAAGGAATGACATTTTACTCCAAGATTCTGAAATTGAATCGAAAAAGTAAAGTTTTTTTGTAACTTTTCCACGAATTAAATGTTGACCTCCAAAGACACCAATAAGTGGACCTAAAACAAATACACTACTAAATGTACAAACTTGAACTATTGGATTACAAGTAATATTTGGTGTATTATTATTGTTATTGTTGTTGTTATTGTTGTTGTTATTGTTGTTGTTATTGTTGTTATTGTTGTTATTATTATTGTTGTTATTGCTATTGGGGGAATTTGAAACACGACGCCAAATATTTGTTTCGGTATCATAGATGTGAATATCATTAAAACGTTCTCTCCATGAGTCACCTGCGCCACCACCAAACATATAAAGTTTTTTACCAATCGAAACTAATCTATGACCACAACGTGCTGATGGTATATCACCTGTAGCTTTAATTTCTGACCAACTATATGTAACAGTATCAAATACAAAAAATTCGTCTAAATCTTGAAGTTCCCAACGACCATCTCTATTAATTCCACCAAAAACGTAGAGCTTGTCGCCAATTGCAGCTGAAGCATGGTTAGTACGTGAACGTGGTGGTTTACCATATACTGTTGGATTGGTCCAAGAAAGCTTGTCAGTGTCAAAAATGGAAAGATCGAAATATACTCCACTACCATCAAAACCACCAAATACAAAAATACGATTTTTAATTGCAACTGAAGTGTGACGAGCAAATTTTGGTGGAGCAACACCTGAAACTTCAACCTTGGAGAAGCGGCTCTTTTCAACATCGAATCTAAAGATATCACTAAATCTACGAATTTGAGTTTCTTGGCCACCTATATAGTAAATAAAGTTGCCAACGGTTGTACCAGTATGTTGATATCTTGGTGATGGAACTACTCCTTTAATCTTTAATAAGCTTGAAAAAACTGCACCTCTTTCAGTTGATAATATTCTTAAATGATAATAGTTTTTCCATTGAGAATCAAATAATAGATTTTTTAATAAAATAGAATTTTCTTCTTTTTTTATAAGTGGAGGTTGTTTTTGATTTGAATTATTATTATTATTGTTATTGTTATTGTTATTGTTATTGTTATTGTTACTATTATTATTATTGCTACCCCATCTATCTATAACTTTATCTCTCCATAAAAAATAATCTTGGGTTAATCTATATATATTTTTTGAAACTAAAGACATATTATATACACAATCTAAAGAAAAATAACCTGCAATTTTGATTATGATCTCTTCTGGTAATTCTTCAAATGGGAAATAAGTATTGTTACATTGATTTTGAATATTATTACTTGTTTTGTTAAGGAATGTATTGTTACTATTTGTAATGTTATTGTTTTTGTGGTTGATACATAAATAATTTGAAAATGATTTATATGAATCATTTTCAAAACACTCTTTTCTTTCTCCTTTATTTGTTTTATTATCGAAAAATAATGTTTCTTTTTTTGTTGATTTATATTCTTCACAGATATCCTCTATTTCATTTTTTGATAATTGTGGTGGTTGTTGGCTATTTACAATGGATGATGGGGATGCGTTATGATATTTAATATTAGTTAGTGATTTTGATTGATATGTTCTATTTACATTGTTATTGTTTTCGTTTGAGGAAGAAGAAATTCGAGTGGATGGTATAGATATATTAGATTGTGACGATGTTGAGGTTGGGGATAATGGCATAGTTGATGTTGATATTGACAACGGACTACTATTGCTATTATTATTACCATCGTTATTGTTGTTTGTTTTATTTGCATTATAGATTGAATTTGGTTTTGAAATTTTTGAAAGAAGATTTTCGAAAAGATTTATAAATGAATTTGATTTTGTTTGATTTAAATTGGGTGTTTGCGATGATGACGATGATGAGGAGGAAGAAGAGGAGGAGTTCATTTTTTTATTAACTTTTTGTAAATTGAATGTTGGCATTATATTTTGAAGTACTATTAAAAAACCAACTATAAAAAATAATACTAATTATTATTATTTTTTTAATTAAAAAAAAAAAAAAAATTAGTTTTCTTATTAAATATTTTTAAATGGAAAATTAATTATTATATTATATTTTTTATTATTAAAAAATTAAAGTAAATAAAAAAAATAAAAAAAAGATAATGAAATTAAAAAAAAAAAAAAATAGAAATAAAAAAAAATATTATTATTTAAAAAAAATTATTTATTTGGATATATAATATATAAATATATTAATTTAAAGTAGTTTAACACCACACACCTAAATCATAATAGTGAAATTAACAAATATATATAAATTTAGAAAAAAAAAGGAAAAAAAATAAAACACAACACAAAAAAATGAAATTAATTTTGTTCATAAAAAAAAGAAAATCCAAAGCCTAAAAATAGTAGTTAGGTAATAAAATTTTGAAAGTTATAATAACTATTTATTTATATCACTAGAGTTTATTATTGTATTGTCTAGATGTTGTTATTTTTGAAAAAGTGTGGGAGTGGTGTGATTTAATATGGATGATAATATGAATAAAATAATAACATAACAATATTATCAATATGAACAATTATACAAACAAATAGTAGTGGTATAATAGGATTATTATATGGTGGTTATAGTATTTGTAGTATCATACATACAAAACATAAAGAATTTTGTGATAATTTAATAGTGAAATAAATATTTGTTAATTTAAAGAAGGACACACACAATTTTATTTTAATAATGAAAAAACAAATAATTGTATTTATAATTAAAAAAAAAATAATTAAATAAAAAATAATAAAAAATAAAAAATAAAAAAAAAATAGCCTTTTAAATTTGTAATATTAAATATTGACGGTATCGATAAACAATCAAAATGTTAAAAAATAAAAAATAACAACACAACCACAATAACTACTATTAAAGTGAGAGTGAGTTTATGAGTTTTTATATATATTTATATATATTTATATTTATATTTATATAGTGAGTGAGTTAGTGTGTGTTTAGGTGTGTGTGTGTTTCTTTTATTTATATACATTATGTACATAATAAGTAATTACATATAATTATTTGAATAACCCCCTCCACTTTTATATATTAAAAACAACAATAATAATATTGATATACATATCATAACGATTTTTTATTATTTATTATAATGCAATTAGGTTATGAGTGTCTATTATATAAATGATTTTTTCCTTTCTTTATTTAAAATATTTTTGGTGTATTGTTTAGATTTAAGTGTTGTTTTTATTTAACCCCCACTTACAAAATAAATATAAAGTGGTTATATGAGTTTTTTAAAAAACTGTGTGCTAGTATGTGAAAATAGATATATAAAAATCTATGTGTGCTAGTGTGTTTATTTTTGTGTTTATGTGGGAAATTTTAAAATACTGGTATTATATGTATGTAATATACATGATAAACTATCAATATCAACTATTTGTTTATTTTTTTGTTTTTGTAAAAAAAAGTTAAAATTTGTAGTTATCACAATAATATTATTTTTTGTGTTTGAGTTTTTTAATATTTTTTAACGCTTTTTATCAAATGTTAAATTGGTTTAATTGTATATATTTATTATAATGAACCACACGAATTTAATTAATTAAAAAAAAAAAAAAAAAGCCAAAAATAGTAAAAAGCAGAAAAAAACAAACAAATAATAAAACAAGATGTGAGATAGATATTAAAATATAATAAAAAGTTGTGTGTGATGGCAATAATGAAAAAAAACTAGATAATATACAATAATAATAATTATGATCATATATATGTTTATATTTGGATCTACATACAAAGAAAAAACATGATATGATAATAATATGGGTGATGTAAATATTAATGATGTTATTATTATTATTATTAATTATTATTAAAATAGTAAATTAAAATAGTTTGTTTTATTTTTTAATTCCTGTTTTTCTAATCTGTCAAAACCCCTTCCTCTAAAAATGTAAAATCAAAAGATTCCTTAAATATGTTATTGATTCTATACTATTATTAAAATTATTGTCTATTACTTTGCAGTTGATATTATTAGTATTACTATTATTGCTATTTGATTGTGTGAGTGAGAATTCTTATTATTTTTCTTTTTTTTTTTTTTTTTTACAAATTATTTATACAAAAAATATTATATTTATTCCAATATTAGGGATAGTCTCTTAAAAAGAAATGAAGAATTAAACTTAAATATTATTTTTTTTTTTTATATTTATAAAATTAAAAAAAAAAAAAAAGTATATTTGTATAAAAAAAAATAATTTAAAATTTAAAAAAAAAAAAAAAAAAATTTTAATTTAATTAATTGTTTCTGTAAGGGTGTAAATTATAAAAAAAATTAAAATTTAAAATAAAACAACAAAAAAAAAAAAAAAAATGTAATGTGTGAGTGTGTTTGTGGTAAAACTATAATTATTATAATGTGGTATGTTTAAAATAAAAAAAAACAAATTGATTTGAATGAAATCAAATCTTGGTTTATTTATTTATAAAAAACCATAAAATTATAATTAATTGGAATCTTCAATTATTATGGCAGAAGAAATAAACATATTTTTTTCTTTCTTTTATATATAAAAAAAAGATTAAAAAAAAAAGATTAAGATAAAAAAAATAATAATTATGTTATGTTACCTTTTATTTGTTTATGAGTGTGTTAATTTTTATTTGTTTTTATTTGTTGTTATTTGTTTTAATTTATTTATTTGTTGTTGATATCAACAATTTAATTATAATATTGAAAAAATTGTTTGTAAACCATATTTAAATAGTTTTTCATAGTCAGTATTTTAAACTACTGACATGAAACAAATGGTTAAATTAAAATTATAAAAAAAAAATACAAAAAAAAAAAAAAAATACAAAAATTATAAAAAAAAAATATTTTTAAATTTCCAAAAAAAAATCTTTTTGAAAAATATAAAAAATAATAAAAAAGATAATGATTATCACAATCATAATAATTATAATATTTTTATTAAACTTACTCTTTCTAAAATTATAACACATAATAATTTTTTTATATTAAAAAAAAAATAAAAAAAAAAAAATAATAAACCAAAAAAAAAAATATTGATATAATTTGAATATTTTTAATGATGGTATATTTTTTAGAAAAAAAACTTCTCTTTTTGGTATATAATTAAATTAGGGTTGCGTTATTAAATTGTATATAAAAAGACATGTTTTTTTTATGGAAATAGAGGTTGTATTTATACTATTTTTAAAAATTTATAGTTATAAAAAAAATTTCTCGAAAAGCAAAAAAAAAAAAAAAAAAAAAAAAAAAAAAAAAAAAAAAAAAAAAAAAAAAAGTTTAAGAGAAATAAAATCTAGATTGATTGTACAGACAAAAAAAAAAAATAAAAATTTTTTTTTTATTTTTTTTTTAAAAGGGTTTATTTTTGGTTTTTGTTTGATATAAAAAAATTATTAATATCTTCTTGGTCAAGCGAAAGATTTTTTTCATTAGCCAGATGGAGCACGCAAATAAAAGCGAGGGGAATTGAAACTTCGCCAGCAGTTGGTTTGTTTTGAGCTCTGAGTTGATTTTGTTCTATGTGGAGATTTTCTATTAATGAACCAAAACTATCATCACCATCCTCTTGAATTGTTTCTGATTCACTAGTGTCCTCATTTTCTTCTTTCTTTTCTATCAAGTTCCAAACTGAAGTCTTTAATTGTTTAACATCGATTTTCTTTGAAACTTTTGCATAATTTATATCAATTCTATTAACTTTTCTAGGTTCTGAAACTAAAACACCATTATTTAAACCAATAAATGTAGTTTTTTCATTATTATTAATGTTATCTAAATTATTATTATTATTATCATTATTATTATTTATTTGATCTAAAATACTATTATCCATATTATTATTATTATTTAAATCTAATTGGTTATTATTTGGTAAATCATCATCATCCCATTCTGGACCACCGCCACCACCATCGTAATCATAATCATCATTTCCAATATTAAATGGATTTGAAGATTCAATATCATCTTCACCACCATTTTCATTGTTGGTTTCTCCACCATTTCTTGCTAAAGTTTGTGATGACATTGAACTGTCAATATCTCTTTTATTTCTTTTACTGAATGAATATCTTTCTCTTAAAGTTGGTACATAAAATTGTGGTTTGGTGAAAAGACGAGCCAGTTTATTAATGCTAAAATGAATATCTGGTGGTAATAAATTATTATTTTGAGACGCTGCAGCTCTTCTTAAAGTTGTAGCTGATGAAGATGTATTTGCAGTTTCGAATTTCCACGCATCTGTCAATGGGCTGTTAAAATCAAATGAAATGGATGATGTTGGTTTTCTACGTGTCTTTCTTTTCTTTGGTTCTGCTGCGTCTTGTTTTTCTTTTTCAGCCTCTTTAGTTTTTCTTGTTACTTTTTTAAACTTCCAATGTTCTGGTCCTGTCCAATTCTTATCCTCTTCATTGTTTTTATCATTATCAAACAAGTTGTTATTATCCCAATCTTGATCATTTCTTTCAAATAGTGAAATATCATCATTATTAAAATTGTTGTTACTGTTGTTCTTTTTATTTTCTTGTTCTTCATTTAATTGGAGCCCCGGTATATTATGATCTTCATAGTCATTATCATCCCATTCTGGACCACCGCCTCCTTCATAGTCATAATAATCGTCATCGGCTGCTGCGGCACCAAAGTTATTGATATTAAGTTCTTCTTGTGGTTGTTTGTTATCATTATTATTTACAAAGTTATTATTGTTGTTGTTGATTTCATTATTTAATTCATTTAATTCATCAATTTTTTTATTTGAAATATTTGGTACCATTTGAGCGTTTGTTGACCATTCTGAAAAACCATAATAGGTTGGACAAATTTCCAAATCCCTGAAAGCCTCTGGTGCAAATAAATGTTTCCATTGACCTAATTGAATTTGTATATTTTCTTTTGATTTTTTTTCTTGTTGTGGTACTTGATTATCATCCCCAATGTCATGAATTGCATCATTTGAATCGAAAACTAATTTACAGTCACCATAAATTGAAAGATTATTTAATAATAGACCCTTAGCACCACCTTCATCAAATGCAGCTGTAGTTTTGCTAAACAGTGGATCGACGGTACATTTTAATTCAAATTTCTTTACAGTGATATTATCTAAATTATCTTCTAAAGTATTAACACCCGATTTTTTTCTTTTCTTTTTTACTTTTTCTTCTTTATCCGAGCCCTTATCATTTCCTTCGCCAACTTTATCATTGTCATCATCTCTAAATTCTTTGCCACCAGCTCTTGAAAGACCACCTAAAACCTTAATTGTGTTGACATGTACCGAATCTACACGACATGAATAAATTTTGATACTAGCATCCAAAACACATGATGCTGCTTGAAAATTAGTTGTATCTGAATCTAATTGTTTTTGAGTTTCTACAACATCTTTAATATGGTCAATTAAAGGAATATCCCATGAATTTTTTTGTGTAATTTTCTGTAAAAAAATAAATAAAATAATATATTAATATGAATTTTAAAAAGATAATATGAATAATAATAATAATAATAATAAGTGAAAATTAAATATTTACATTTTCAGTACTCATTTTAATTGTACTTTGATATAAATCTGAAATTTTTTGATGATCTAATTGATTTCTAATTGTAGTTGAATTAATTTGTACACCAGTTGATGTGGTTGGATTTGGTATAGCTCCAAAAGTTGATGATGGTAATAATATTGATTTTCTTTTTTTAAATTTACTTAAAACCTCGTTGTTGTCTGAGGAATGTTGTTTTTTTGAAGGTGGCTCTTTAAATGTAACCTTTCTACCACTAATATCTTCATCATCTTCGTCATCACTGCCATATTGGTTATTATTGTTATTGTTATTGTTTATAATATCGTCATCATCTTTTTTTCTTTTATATGAGTCCGAAGGTTTTTCTTTACTATTTATTATATTTTCTTTTGTATTATTTTGTAATGATGCTATTTTTGCTATATTATTATTATTATCTATATTATTATCTGTATTATTATGGTCATTATTATTTGTAGAAATGCCATGGCTACTATTATTACTAGCCGAACTAAAAACTGAAAATCTCTTTTTTATGGAAGAGAGCATTTTTGTTTGCTATTTTAATAATACACAGCTATTGGTGTATTATATTTATTTTGTTTGTTTTTATTTATTATTGTTTCTTTTGAAAGGAATTAATTTAATATATAAAGGCATGAAAAAAATTATTGGTGGGAATTTTTTTTAAGAAATAAACAAATATTTGTAAAAAAAAAAAATAAAAAAAAATAAAAATTAAAAAAAAAAAATAATTTAAATTATTTTTTTTTTTTTTTTTTAATTTTTTTAATTTATTTAATTTATTTTTATTTTAAAATAATTACCTCGGTTTTATACAAATATATATATTTATTGATATTTACAAAAATGGATGGGTGTTAGTATTTTTATTTTACTTATAAAATAAAATTATTATTATAATTTTTTTTTTTTTCCAAAATAACCTATACCAGATCATCTTCATTGCTTATTGAATCTTCTTTAATTGACATTTCGATCACTGATGAGTCAAATGCAGAGTTATTAATAACATTGGAGTTATTGGTATTGTTTTTAGTTGATGCATTTGTCATGCCACTACTTGATGATGAAGAGTTTTTACCACTATTACCACTATTGCTACTACTGCTATTTCTTGAAATGAATTTATTTACAAATGAATTATTAAATAAAAATGAATCTAACCAAATCTTTTTAACTTTATTATTGATTCCTATAAAAAAAAAAAAATTAATAAAATGAAAATTATTAAAATGAAATGAAATGACAATGATTAAACATACCATAAAAAATAAAAGCACCAATACCCAAAACTCTTAAACAAAAAAGGAAAACAAAATTACCAGCAACTGAGAATTTGGCAGCTGAACATTTTGTTATATCATCTCCCTCAAGTAAACATTTTACATAGTCATCTAAAACATTTTCATAGGTGCTCTGATCGGCGGCGAGTGATAAATAATAAAAGAACATATAAAAAAATGCGAAACCTGTTAATATAATACAAATCAAAGGTCTAATATTACCCTTTAAATTTGATTTTTGATTTGATACTTTTACAATCTGTGAAAGTGGGTGGGTGGGGTGTGGATGTAAGTGTGAGAAAAATAAAAAAATAAAGAATTAATATTTTTATGATTTACTTTTTTTTTTTTTAGGTAGACTTATACGTACATGGTGGATTTCTTTTAAAATTAAAATAATAAATACTGATGATGTAATGAGACAGATTGTTAGTGGTATCCAAAACAAAGCTAATTGATGGACTGCATCACCTAACCAGCAACCTAAACCGATATAACTCATTGAATATTGATCATTTGCAAGTGGGACAAATGAAAATACTATACTGATTATAAATGTAAAAATAAAGTAATATTTTTCGTAATTCTTTCTTTCTTGTCTTCTTTTAATGCTCATCCAAATTTCGAATGAGAGGAAAACCCACCAAAGGAAACCGAATACACCACCAAATTGTAATAAAATTCCAGAGCTAACACACAATGCATTATTTGATGTTAAATATTGACCCGGTGAAGGACATAATGACTTTTCTGGATCTTTAAAACTATGGCCAAAACTATAAAAATCTGTACACATTGCAATGCAAACTCCAAATGACATACATAAAATACCTATTGTATGCTTATTGTGCTTTCTATTGACTATAAGTGTGTGTGGTTAAAAATGAAAATGAAATTAATATGCGTGTGTTTTTTTTTTTTTTTTTTTTTTTTTTTTTATATATATGTTATTACCTAAAGGACTATAAGTGATTAGTAAAAATAAACCTGAAAAGAATGAAATTGTGCCCATTACCTCACTCATTGTTAAAAAAAGTTGCCAATCATCAATTTCAAAGAATGGTGAGGGACAAGGTATAACACACGATATATATGTGTCATTATATTTTACAAAATTGAATCCAAGCTTTTCATCCTCTATTCTATTGGACACATTCCTATATATTAAATCTCCTTTGCATATATTATCAGTTTGTCCATTTATGTAATTTATATTTATTATTAAAAATAATATTAACAATGTTATTATATTTATTGATTTAAACTTTGAAAATATATCTATTTTAAATCTATTCATTTTATTTTTATTTTTATTTTTATTTTTATTTTTATTTTTATTTTATTTATTTTTATTTTGCTTTAAGAGAAAATAAAAAAGTATTGAAAAAGAAAAAATTGAAACTTTTTTTATTTTTTTTTTTTTATTTTTATTATATTTAAAAATAAAAAAAATGAAAAAAGGTTTCAGAAAAAAATAAAAAAAATAAAATTAATTAATAAAAAATTTTTTTTGTGTAAAGGAAAAATTTTGATTGAATCACAATTATCCAAGATTTAAAATAAAAAAAATAAATTTTTTTTCAAAATTTTTTTATTTATTTGAAAAGTTTCTTTTTTGGTATGCGTGATGTCGTGGTGATATAGATTGTATACAAAAAACAAACTCATATCTGTTTTCAAATTTCTTTGATTCCCAAAAAAGCAAAGATATTATACTACCAGCCAAAAAATAAAAAAAATTTAAATTTTTTAAAAAAACAAAACTAAACTATTATTTTTATTACTTTGATTATTATTATGAGATATATAAAATTGTAATCTTTTCATTTTATTTTTGATTTCATTTTGTTTTGTTTGTGTATTTTTGTGTGTGATTGGGGTTTATGTGTGTGAAAAGTGTGGTGAACTGTTTTTTTTTATTTTTTAAATATAATTTTGAAGAGACAATGAAAATAAATAAATAAATAAATAATAAAAGAAATAATATAAATAAACAAATAAAAAAAAAAAGATTTTAAATATGCATTTATTTATCTTTTTTTTAAATTATTTGTAAATAAAATAAAAATTATTTTAAAATTGTAAAAATTTTTTGGTTGATGAAAAAATTGAACGAAATGGTGCGATGTTGAAAAAAAATAAAATAAAAATATAATAAATATAATTTTTAAATGTTTTATTATATTTTCTCCGCTACTGAATTCTTGGTTATCTATGAATTTTTTTGGGATTTTTTTTAGTTTTTTGATAATTTCTTAAAAACTAAAAATAACAATTGATTTTTATTTTTTTATTTTTATTTTTTGTATTTTTTTTATTCAATTTTTTTTATATTTCTCTTGATGTAAATATTGATGGTATTTTCGTAAAATTTTAAAAATAATAATAATAATAATAATAATAATAATAATAATTTAAAAAATAAGTTCAATAAATAAAAAAAATAAAATATATAAAAAAAAAAAAAAAAAAAAAATAAAAAAAAAGGAAAAATAAAAAAATAAAATTGAAATGAAATATAAAATTTTAATTTTATTTTTTATTCTTTTTATAAATTCATCAAGTGTATCATTAGTGAATTCTAGTATTGTGGATGTATCAAATATAACCTATTGTCCACCACCATTATTATTTAAAAATAGTTCAAATTATGTTGAAGATACAAAAAGAGGATACCATTTCGTTTCAGTTAATGGCACTGTGGTAAATTGTATACAGCCATGTCCATCTTTATACTTTGATTATAAAGAAGAGTGGCAAAAAATGATGAATATGGCATTGGTTGTGGGAACATTCAGTTTTTTCGCATCAGTTTTTTTAATTTTAACCTATTCACCATTATTAAATAAGAATTATAGAAATAGACATACTATTGGTATATTGGCAATGTTTTTTGGTATATTTTTGATCATGTTAACCGATGTATGGAATTTGGAAAAAAGATTCGAAGTGGGTTGTCCAGAGATAGGAAGATATTCAAGACAGAGTGATCCAGAGTGTGGTGCAACAGGAATTATATTTCAATTTGGTTGTGTCAGTGCTGTAATTTCATGGACCGTTTTAGCATTCGATTTATACTTTTCAATAAAGAAAATACAATTCAAAGCATTCGACAAATATTATTTGGTAGTTATATATGCTTTTAGTTTAATTTTAACATTTGTACCAGCTATTGGAAAACAATATGGATACACTGAATTTGCATTAGGTTGTTGGATTTTAGATTTTCCTTATCAAATTGTAAGTATATATATATATATATAGTATTATAGAATTTTACATTTTTATTAATTTAAAACAATTTATTTTCTATATAGTCATGTTTTTGGTTACCACTCTCACTTTGTTTAATTAGTAGCACTGTTGTAGTTTTAATGATTTTATTTGAAGTATATAAAATTATCAAGGTATCGAATCAGAAATCATCTATAAAGGGTCATATTAAACCGTTGTTGTGTTTAATTTGTAATTGTTTGGAGTTTTTTTATATGTTTGGGTACAGTCTATTCCTTAAGACTCAAATGGAGGAGTTAGAAAAAGGAATGGATGACTATATATATTGTTTATTAGATAATGCCACAAGCACTCCAGGATCATTCGAATGTAAACCAAAGAAACTCGGTATGACCGCTCAATTCATTTTCCTCATATCCCTTAGATTACTTGGCGTGTCAGGTATTGCTTTTTTTGGTTTTAATAGTAGAGTAAAAAAAATTGTAAGTATAATACATTCATAAACTTTCTATTTATTTTTATTTAAATACTAATTTTTTATTTTTATTAGTGGTTAGATTCTATAATTTTTAATAATAGATTTATGCGTAAATACTTTAGTCTTTCATCTTCATCCAACACACCAAATTTCTCAGGAAATAGAAATAATAGATTTAGTATTCAATATAACAGCGGAAATAGCAATAATAATAATAATAGTAACAGTATTAATTTAAATAGTAACTATTGTGTAGAAACACCAGAAGGTGATCCTTATTATAATAATTCAGAAACTCCAGATGGATCAAATGAACCAACTACAATCGAACTACCTGTAGTAAACAATGATAATCAAGAAAATAATATAAATACTGTAAATGATAGTAATAATGATAATAGTAATAATAATAATAATAATAATAATCAAGTGTAAAATATAATGTTTTTTTTTAATACATAATACATAATACATAATTCATAAAAAATAATAAATAATAGATAATACGTAATAAATATTACGTAATAAATAATACATAATAAATAATAAATAATAAATACATAGTAGATAATACATAATAGATAACAAATAAATAATAAAATAATAATATATAAAGTCGAATTTTAATAAAGTTAATAATTAAAAGTTTAATTAAATTTAAATTTTAAAATATAATATTTTTAAAAAAAAAAAAAAAAAAAAAAACCATGTGTAAATTTAATTATAAAAGTTATTTTAAATTATTTTACTTTTTTTTATTTTATAATACATGTTTTATTATTTATAAAAATACAAATTTTATTTTATTTAATTTTCATCCATTTCAACTTCGTAAGCATCTTTGTCACCTAAACCTAAAGCAGTAAAAAGAGTTGAGGATTTCCAAAGTAATAAAGATTCTTTTGATAAACCTAAGAAAACAAAGATTTGGATACCTAAAACTTTAACAAAGAAAGAGAAGGTGTATTGTGAAGCAAAACCAATGGTGTGTTCGAATGGGCAGTATTGAATTGGGTCTTTTTCAGTCAAATGGGTCATAGCGGCTTTGAGGAGACATTGAACTCTTTGTGAGATGGTGGCGGTATATTGGTCCTTTCTATCGTTGATAACACCAAAGAAACAAATCATATAAAGAATTTCGAAAAAGAATAAGATGACCATGACTAATTGCATTGCATGTTTGAAATTCTTACCATCACTTGTTTTTTTAATCATAGAGAATACAGTTAAGCAAATACCGACGAAACCAACGGCAAGTGAAACAATTACAACCCACCAGAAGAAACCATATTGCCAATTCTTTTCGAGGATCCAGCAAGAGTTAACACCAACTGGATAGTAACCATATTGATCACCAGCAATTGGACCAAAGGTAAGAGCAATAATAACAGCAAAGAGAGCACCTAAAACACCATACATAATTTTACTTGAAGTTTGTTTACCGGTAACTCTTAAATAGCCATCAATAGAGAGAAAAGCCCAAAAGATTACTGCACCTAACCAACCGAATTGATAGAGGATACCTTGAGCTAAACATTTATCATCAGTTTGACGAGCATATCTATTTGGTTCTGGGCAAATTACAGAGTCACCATAGCTAGTATACAAGAGATCAGCAATACCAATAAGAGCGGTTGACAATGAGATTAAGTAAACGATAGTGGTATGACGATTCATTTTAAAAAAGTTTCTATTTATTGGACCATAGGTAAGAAGAACGAGGCAAGATAAAACAAAACTAACGGTACCCATTCCCTTGGTTAAAATATTGTATTTATCCCATTGACTTTCTTCATAAAACATTGATTGACATGGAAGAGTACAATTACCAAATGGTGCTGGGGCAGCAATATACATATAACCTAAACTTTCACCCTCTTTAAATATAAAAAAAAAAAAATAAAAAATTATTAAAAAACTATGTCTATTACCTTTTTTCTTTTTTATGAACATTAAAACTTACCAGCAGGATTTTTTGTATATTGAAAAGTTAAAGGGGGTGGACACATACCCCATGCTGGTAATTGCGAAT